TATTACATGACAGACTTCAAGTGATTCACAACTTATAGCAATATACGTTAATTTCCAATAGAGAAATGAGACGGAACCATGATTGAAGATCGCGATATCAGCGATCAACTTAAAAGGCATTGAAACGTATCGGTCGCAATGTCACAGCACGGTATCAAACAAGGTGCATAAAATAATATGAAGTTGAACATGACAAGAGATTCAAAACATATAACAATGTCACATAATGGTATCATCCAATTCGGTAACAATGATTCAAATGACTTCGGTTGACTCAGAGATGAGTTGGACAACTCAGTCGAGTCACATAAGACTCATAGTTTGTATAGAACGTGGAACGGTGTCAGAACGTATAATTCGTATCGGTATCCGCCGATACTTTAAACCATGGGCTAAAGATAGCTGGTCCTTCGCCAAATAGCAGACTCAACTTTTATTTTGAAAAACATAAAACACCTCATAACCAGTTACCTCATCCACAGCTGAGACTTGTCCGCAAAAAAAAAAAAAAAAAATTGTAAAACAAAAACAATATATCTCCAAATTCAAAATTTAAAAAAAAAAAAACAATGCTAACCTTACCAAGATTACTTTTTACTTGCAAGAAATTTTTACGGTTCAACTACTCCTAATGCAACTACTATTTTCAGTTACAAACAACAAACCTTGAAATCCAAACAAACAACTTCCCTCACCTCAACAAACTTTGTCGTGACCATTTTGGGTTGGGATCATAAATCACGTTCAAAAATTAATACTCTAAAATTGAACAAGAAAAATTAATATTCTCTTCCTAGAATGTGACCAATTCTGCACTTCATGACTGATTAATATTCCAAAAGTATTTTTCCTTTGATTTTTATTCTAACACAAATTCATCTAGAAGGTTAAAGTACCATAACATGTATAATTAGTGTCCTGCAAAGTGAAAGCCTGCGCTTTGGATCCACAGATCTTGGACACTAAGTGGATATTCAACTTTGAATGATATGTTTTCAGCCAAGAACATGCCCGTAATCACATTTAATATATATTTGTAATTCCTTCTTTCTTTAACACCCACCATATTTCATCTTTTGGATATTATCACAGATCTTCTCCAATTCCACAGAAATCATAAATTGTCTTTGAGAATATTTCCCTTTCTTATGCACTCCTGCAATTTTTGTTTGGCTATCTCATAAATTGTTTTATTTTTGTTTGGCTATCTAATGGACTCCAGCATTCTCAACCATAAGACAAGCTATTCACAGCCAGCAGGAATTTTAGCTTTTGTACGACAAAAAATGCATGCATGCGCAAAGAAATACACAAATTGTTAGAGAATCCAATCCAAAACTAATTGGTAATGGATGGAGTGGCCTCTGAAGTATATAAATTAACCTTGGTGGTCCTAATTATTCGATATAAAATATAAACTATCTTAACATCCTCCCTCACGTAGGATCCCGGCCCACACGGGTGGTCAATTAAAAAAAAACAACCATGCATACCTGAAAATTCAAATGTGTGAAAGACTTGACTCACTAACCATCTGAAGTCTAACTCTGATACCATGTTAGAGCATCTTACCCAAAACCAGTTGACAATGAAAGGAGTGGGCTCTCAAGTATATAAACTAACATTGGTGGTTCTAATTATTTGATATTATATACAGGCTCTCTTAACACAAATAGCATGCCACTAGATACCAGTATAGAGGAAAACTCTCAATTAGAACCTGCTAGTAAAAAAACAATCAACAAAAGACCCTAACATACCTCTCGGGAATTCACAATATCCATGTTTTCAAGAAAGTGATTCAAATATCCCTGCATTTCTATCTTTGCTCGGTCTGACATGGAGTGCTGCCTTCCCAGGGCTGGCCGAATGATTGGCAGAGCAGCAATAGATGGAACATCTCTAAACAAAAAACAACCTGTAAGAATCATCAAAATTATAACAGGAATGGACGTATTTCACGTTTCCCATCCATCTTGACAAATGGTATGTAGTTAACATTCACCTGTTTCTAAGACTTTCCTCATGGCGTAATGGAACAGTCTCATCATCAGGTTCATCATCGTCTTGCACCATTGCTGTAGGATCCCCTATGCCAAGGTTTTGAAACCATTCTTTAACCTTCAAATAATGGGCTAATCAGATATATATCAAAATACCAGCACAATGGCAACATGGAAGATCAGAACAGCTCCATCGATGGGTTCGACATGTGAAAACACAGCATGCAGAATATAATAGTACCAGACTTTAAACAAACCTGCTCCTGCTTCTCATGAATTTCCTCAATAAATGCACGTCTCTTCAGTGCAAAGTGTAAATAAAACACTTGTGAAGCTTTCTTCACTAATTGCCACTTGAACTAGTTTCCAACAATCAAAACAAAAACTAATAGTCAAATAAAAAAAGGGAAGAACGAAAGAGACGTAAAATAAAGTATTCCGGGAATTACAATGATAACAAGGAATACACAATATAAAATATTCTGAAAAATGAAAATTGAAGTTGATCACCATTGAAGTATAAATCCTTAAGTTACACCCTATTTAAATTTAATCTTTTAGGTGAGATAGTGATTAACATGGTATGAGAACAAGAAATCTAACATCAAACTATAAATACATAAGTTACCTCCTCTCTAACGGCTTAAACTTTTAGATGAGATGATGTTCAACAGTCACGACATGTTATCCATAAATACAGGGATTCTAGCACACAACCAATCAAACATGAGGGTCCAAAAAACCATTGTAATCGTATTTTTTATCAGTCTATGAAATCCAGAAGGTACTACATAGCCGAAATCAGCCAAATAATATCTGGCCCGCTGATCGGTTTCCAAGAAAACCAAGGGAAAAGAAATTTCAAATTCAATCTTAAATTCATTCTCTCATTCTTAGTTGAGTAAGATAAGTGATCTTAGTCAGCTAACTACAGTATAAAGTTTCAGGTTAAACAATTGAACCATTGTGAATTCGAACAATGAAAAACATAATGCAAATCTGCACTATTTTTCAGCTGCTCTTTAGTTACCAAACCAAGAGTAAATAAATTCAACTACAATTTGATACAAAATCTCACCCGTAACTTCTAAATTCAAACATCCCCATGACTCATGAGATTTTTCCAGTTATCAAAATTCATTTCATTTATCAACTTCAAATCCACAAAAACCGTGATTTTAAGCCAGAGTGTTTTTGGCAGTACTGGATATAGGCACCAGAACTGGAGTGGACGTAAAATTGTTCAAAATTTGTCCTAATTTTTATTCAATTCCAATTCCAAGGCTCGAATTCCGTTCTACCACTCGCAGCATCAATTGTTTTTCCAAAAGATGAAATACGGTTCACTTCTAGTCCTAGTTCTCGTCTCCATAGAAACAATTCTGAAGATATGCATAGTTTTTATCAATTTCAATCCATACAAAGCTACGATCCTAACTTATCGAAATTGAAAATGATCTCAACTTTTTCAAACTATATTTATCAAAAACAAAAAAAACAAAAAATGATTCCAAATTTACGCGCATGTGTGTATATGATTCCAAAAAAACATCTCATAGTTTGAAAAATATCGCACCTGTTTGTATTGGAATTCAATGGTGTAAGTGAGAAGCATAGGGCTGATATCGCCGGCGTCTGGACGCGAAACCTGAACGATGGCGGCCCTGGGCAACTCATCGAAAATTCGAGTTGTCTCAGTGCCTTCAATATGATGAAACGAGAAAAACGACGACATCATCGACGTTAACGGCTCCGATTGCATTTGCACGTATTTCGGCCCACCACTTCCAGACACTAACTGCTCCGACGACGCCATTGATGAAAAAACTCTTGTGTGTATCGGAATATTAATATACAAATGCGAGATCCGGAGAGAGAGAAAACTGATTAAATTGTTTTTGGAGAGAGAGAGAGAGAGAGAGAAAGAGAGAAAGTGGGGAGGAGCGGAGTTGAATTTGTCAATTTGATGTGGTTTTCTATTGGACAGCGCTGAACGAGAGCAACTGCACGTCAAAGTTGATGAAAAAGTTTTGATTTGCATTTTATATATGGATTCTGGATATTAGGTGTGGCATGTATAGGATACGATTTCGCTTCAAGCATACTCGCACGGGATAGCAAGGTAAGAGCATACTTGGATTGGAAAAGATGAATCCACGTAGTAGTGTGTTTTGCTTCAATACCTAAGAAATAATGTAGATCTCTTAGATCTTTCGTGGTGTGTGTTTGAATTAATTTATGCGTATTTTGACTAATTTTCTCTTCGTCTCGTTTAAAGATAAATTATTCACGTTAAAATTAAAAAATTCATAAAGAATAAATATAACCCAACCTCAAAGAAATTGTCAAATTTTAAACCATAGATGATTGAATTAATACAGATTATATACGTTATCTTTATCTCCATCGGACTGCAAGCCATATTTAATGTACTGTAATAATAGCAATTTAAGAGTAAGACAGCCTAGTTGAACTCAATGAAGGTGATTTGCCTTCAGACCCATGCCCCGATTCTGAGTAGCTGAGGTCTTCGGGGACCATAATATCATGTTATTGAATTTGCCCAAAAAACTAATGAAAAAACTGCTCAATAAACGCAAGTCCAAACGGACCAGACTTCTTTTCCTACAAAACAAAAAAAAGTTCAGGTTTTAAGACAAATACAAATAGGCACATTGAAAACTTTTTTTCTTAACTTTTCTATTACAAAGCAACAATTTTTTTTTTTTTTTGCCATATGGCAATGTTGGGGGATTTATATGTAATTGGTGGAGAAGGGGCATTACAATGACCCCTACGTTGTGGAGATCATAGACCCAACTCAGAAATCAGATCCACCAAACTAGAATTCTCTAACAAAAGCAGCCAGAATACCCATTTAGAGGCAATGTCGTGGGTGTCCAACAGCTACATGTCTATTGTAAAGGAAGCAACATTTTCTAAAGGCAACCCATGGATTTAACCTACAATGCTCTCAGAGCACATCATAGAGAAATTACCTTAATCATAAACCGAAAGAGCAGCAGCTTTTAAGATCAAAATTGTACTTCCATTCAATTACCTGTAGGCTTATAGTGATATTCCAATCAAACACTACATTCCCAAACAATCGCACTACAAAACAGGTAGCAAAAGAAACTACAGGCTATAGAATTTTAAGATATTGAGCCATACTGAGCAATAAAACTGGTCATAAAAGAGTGACAGCAAACTCCGGTAGAATCCAAATATGGCGATGTATACCGTTATCTCTAATGGTCACTTCTTCTTCCCTTTCTTAGCTCCCCTACAAAAATGAGAAAGAAAAAAAAAATCAGTTAGAACAACCTGTTCACATAAACAGGTAAACTAGGATTTGCCAATCCTTACTCGGCAGGTTGTGTTGCAGGCGAAGGTGCTGGTGCTCTCTCTCCAGGTCCCTGTGTACCAATACAACATGAGGTTCTTAGATCTCCACAAGAAAATATACGAATCAACATGCCAAAAGTATGCAAGTGCGTAATTACTTCATCAATCGGATTAACACCATAGAAATTACCACCAAAATACTCAAAGGTTTCTTAGTATTTCTACAAGCTAAGTTGTTCTATAATTTTCCAATCACGCAGCATAGCCTACAAATAGGCCTGCTAATGCATTGGCAACTTAGATCCTATAGAGCAAACCTCTAGACTATGGTTGGGTTCGGTTCGTTAAGATCAATTTTCATGTCAAGTTGGAGGAGTGATTGGCAATGACATTAAGGCCGTCTCATATCCTCAATATAAGTGTTCAGTTATGAGACTCCGACCAAAAAAACTTCACAGGGATTAGGTTCAGAAAAACTTCATTACATTTTTCAAACATAAATAGCTCCCAACCCTCCAATCTCCAACTACCCAAATAAGAAATCAAATCCAATGAATGTGTGTAGCTTTTAAATAATGGTGTTACCTGAGCCAGACGCTCCTCTCTTCGAGCTATCTTCCTTTCTCTGCTTGCTTTATTCTTAGCACGCTTTGCCTCGAACTGGTCGGACAATGACTTCTCTCTTGCCTTTTCAGCCTTTGATTTGTGAATACTTTCCATCAACACCCTCTTGTTCTTAAAGACATTACCTTTCACCTTCATGTACATATCATGGTACATGTGCTTGTCAATTTTCTTTGATTCCCTATACTTGCGGAGCAAGCGCCTAAGCACACGCATTCTTCTCATCCAAAGCACTTTAGTTGGCAATCTTGCCTCCCTAGTACCCTTGCGTTTACCTGAAAATATTACCAAAAAAAGGGTAATATTGACAAAATACCAAGCCATAATCACAAACTATTGAACTAGTCACTTGCTACCGTGAATCTAAGTACACTGACTCGCTCAGGACTCAAAGTAATCATAAATGATTTGAGAGGACAACAGGAACATGTCTAACTTTTTTCCAACAATGGAGATAGATGCTATGTCTCTTCACATGAGGAGAAACATAAGCCTCGGGATGCAATATGCCCAACAAATGATAGGATATCTATATGCAAATCACAACGAATAGAAGAATATGCTAGCATCCCCATTCACCATTTTCCCAAGTAAACTAGAGTAATTTTATCATTTTTCATGTATTGGGGGTGTGGGTGAGGATCAATGAAAACTGTACTTTTATCTTTTGCGTTGTGATGCTTGATGCAATAAATAATTCAATTTTTTTTTTAACATTAAAAAAACATTTGGTGCAATAAATAACTCAATTTTTTTTTTAACATTAAAAAAACATTTGGCTTCAACAACTTCCGTGTCATAACTAAAGCAACTACTAATCATTTTGAAAGGAAAAAAAATAGAATGAAAATGCTGAAATGAGCATAACGCGTTGAACCTCAAGTGATTATTTACACTTATATCATACCTCCAGACTATATGTCACACTATAATTTCAAATATAATCTTGCTCTATGGCAGTAACTTGCCTGCCCAATCCAGAATGTGACCAATTGAAATAAGAAACTAATAATGTATACCATATCCTGAGTGGCGGCCCTTTCTCTTGGCCTCCTTCATTCTACGAGCACGAGAACGAGAGTGGATCTTTGTTGGTTTCCTGATAATAAATCCATCCTTCACAAGCTTTCTTATGTTTTGCCCTGCATTCAATCAAACATGCTCTCATTACATGCAAATTCAAAAGCTGCCAGAGCTGAATTCTTACCAAAGATAAGAAAATGATGCTGATGTTAAAGGGTCAGCCATTAAAAACCAGCTGACTGCTACAATGAAGTAAAAACTAAAAACTGTCCAAGTTCTGAGAGAAGCAAAGCGGTCGGATGGTAAAATGTACTGGCAGAAAACCTTGATAGCCCTGGGCCGTTAATAGTTATACATATAAGGAAACAATGTTTCATTTGCCAATTCTGGTTCAAGAGCTCTGGGTTCATTGTTTTGTCTAAACAGCATTTTCCAAATAGTATTATAGGGCGAAGAGAAATTATCATTTTCAAGATGCTTTCTAGTTTCGTTTCAAAAAAAAAATCTCAAGTGAACCACACTCTCATAAACAGAAGAACTATTCAGCAGCAAACATCAAGAAATTCTGAATTACTAAACTGCCAAACGATAAGAGGGGACTGATTCTAAATCTGCGCTATTGATCCCTAAATTTTCACAGATCATGCTTCTACTGGGAAAAAAATAATCAACTATCCCGTTAATAATCTTTTTGGCCGCAATAAAATAGAACAAAACCGAGAGAAATAATTCATATATAGTAACTTCCACTCCAACTCTAACTTACATGGCAAAACTAACCAGTACAACAATTCAAGCCAGTCAATTTAAAAGCATATGTATATACATGGACGGAGACAGAGAGGAGCTTACTGGAGTTGGCCATGGAGATTTCGTTGCCCTCATTGGGGTCCAGCCAGACCTTGCCACGGCCACACTTGAGAACGCTCGCGGCGAGCCGTTTCTGGAGTTTCAACGACACCATGGCTTCGCTTTCCTACTCCTCTCTCTCTCTCTCTCTCTCTCTCTCTCTCTCTCTCTTCCTCTCTGCTGCAACCAGAGAGTTTGAACGGAAGAGAGCGGATTTTATAAAATGGAAGCTACTCAGGGCTAGGGTTAGGGTTAGGGCGACTGTGACTGTGTGAGGGGGGTGATTAAAGGTTCGGGGCTAACCCGGATTTGAGGCGTGGGGTAATGGGGCAGGCTTTATCCAGCTACATCGTAACAGATTTCAATCTAAAAAAGTGAATCCATGTGCCCAGAATTTCTGACTAGTTGAGGTGTACGTGAATGAATACTTTTAATTTTTTATTTCTTATCTTGCAATTAACATAAATTATGATCTTTATGTTAATTAAATTTTTGAACTCTATAATTGTGTCAATTGTATAATTCTATCTGTATCCGTTAGAATATGTCACTCACGTGACTATATGATATAAAAAGATAAAATGACTTAATTGGTCACAAAAATCGGGTTATTCTCACCTTATAAATCTCTATTCACTTTCTATTTAATTTTTTATTATTAAATTATTAAACTCATGTCTTCTATACCTATTCCATTGGTAACTAAGCATACCTCATGCTACATACACCCTTTTAATAAGTAAATCTATTTTATATTTTATCATAATTATAGTTTCATTATCTATCTCTTCTCATGTACTCATAAAAACACTTGTTAATTAATTTTTTTTTTCTTTTTTCTTCGATCTACTTCTTTCTTTATGTCATTCTTTTTTTTTTCGGTCTGTTTCTTTCTTCTTCTTTTTTTCTTGTTTTATTCTTTCCTTTTTTCTTATTTTAGCATACTTGATTTTTTTTTACTTGTTTCATTTTTTATTCTTATTTCGTAATTGTATTTATGCATTCAAGTTAATTGTCTTTTAAAAAAGTGTACATAAAATAAGTGCGTTTAACTATTAAATGGGGTATATGTAGCATGAAATAAGTTTATTTACTAATAGAGTGAGTATAGAAGGGGTGTGCTTAATAGTTTACGAATGAAAAATTAAATGAAATGAAAATAAAGATTTGTGGGAGTGGGAATAGTCTCACCTTAACACAATTGAAGTTTAAGGGCTTAATTGATGAAAAAAAATTAGGAGTTTAATTGACATAAGAGTAATAGTTTGAATGTCATATGTTTAGTTTATTCTAATCATTTATGTTACGTGGGTGACACACTTCATCAAATGACTAAATTAACACAATTAGAGAGTTTCAGTGGCTCATTTGATATATAAAAAAAAATTAGAAACTTAATTGATATAAGTGATGATGCACAAAATAGTCTCGTTCAAGATAAGATATAATTAATGGACAATTAATAAAATAATAAATGATAGTAATGTAAATATTGAGTCATATATATATATAGTGGTTTAGTTCTGATAACCTATTTCACTATGGGAAACGACAACAGTGACGGGCTCTTTTATTGATGAAGTAAGATGAACAGGAGAGAGAATGATGGTCAACTTCGGGAGAGATATAATAGTTGCTCAAGAGAGAGAAATGTTATGTGTGTGTAGAAAGGTGTTAAGATGCCCCTCTTAATAAAGAGAGCTTACAATTTACAGGCAAAAAGTCTTTAGGTGAGGCGGTGCGGTGTATTAAGGAGGATAGCTAAAAAAGTAAGTACAATTAAATAATGTCTTAATCTTTAATAATGAGTATTCTGATAATTGCTCATTACGTGCTATAATCTTTCTGAACTCCTTGAACTCTGAACTTGGTCGAATCTATAAATTATGATTGACCCGCCTTGTAGCTGTTTTGGGCTTATTAGATTTATTAGGCCTAATTCAACTAAAATTAAGCTCATCAATAAGAGTCATAGTTTAAGGGTTATACGTATAATTTATTCTAACTATTTGTGTCACGTGAGAGACACTTTTTGTTAAAAAATCTAATTGAGACATACAAAAAGAGTAAATTAACACAATTAGAGAATTCAGGAGTTTAATTGATATAAAAAAAATAAAGAATTTTATATTTTTAGGGGCCATATATTTAATTTATTCTAACATATACCAAGGGAAAAACACACCTATAATAGAACTCTAACACTAGTACACGTCGCTGTTTCGTGAAGGAGGAAGATTCTCGGCCGGTAAAATCCCCCAGTCAGTTGTTTATTCTCAAAATCAGTCTCCATTCAAACTTGTCCATCAAATAAAAACAAATTCCCCTCCAAATTCCACTTTATTTTCCCACCTTTTGTCAACGTTTCCCTCGTTTCGCCGGAAAATGCATCCCCTTTTTTGCCACCCATAATCACCCTAACCCTCGAAAATTTCTAACTTTGATCTCGAACACGGACATGGAGATATCTCTGATTTCCGATTCAGTAACAACAATAGCTTCAATTCAAAGCCTAGGGCCGGCTAAATACCTTATTCATCGCCGTAATTTAACATCCAACAACGTTATATCTATCTCCGATTCCTTATCGGAACAACAACTTTCTTCCACGATTATCTCTGCCGTGATTTTCCCGGTCGACGCCGTGGCACCACCGCCAGTGAAACCCAGTCATCTCAGAACTGCTCCTCGAACCCTTCTACGCAAGAGGAGACGCACCAAGCGAAGATCTTTGACCGATGGGGGAGATGAGGATGATGGAGATTATGGGTTTTTTGGTGACGCCAGCGATGGCGGCGGTTTTGGGAATGGTCCTTTTGGTGGCGGCGGTGGTAGAGGATGGAATTTTGATAGATTTGGTGGGTCAAATTGGGAAGAATGGTCATCGAATTCGTTTTCCGATCCGGCTTTCGATTTTGTGTACGAGGTGTTGTGTTGGATTGTGCTTTCAAATTGTTTGCATTTTGCGTTCAAGAAGGTGGTGAGGATTGTGGCTGATGGAATTGGTGATCCGGCGAGAGAGAAGGTTGCGATGAGAATCACACCAATTTGCTAAATTGGTAACGTGGTATTGTTCTATCTCGACTACCCGAATAATGTTTTGAAAAGAATGGGGGATAATTGGCTATTTAGGATTACATGCCTCTTGATTTTAATTTGTTTTGGTTGGGGGGAGGGAGGGGGTTTCATAATATTTTCATTGACAATTCAATGTAAATAATTGCATATATTTTCATTTCGTCATCTGATTTCTACTTGTAAATATGATACTTTGGTTGGTAACTTGGTATATATCAATTAGATGACTCTTAAAAAGTTATTTTCTGTATGATTGTGGTGGGTTTGAGTTCATAATCTATCTTATAATGCCTAATTACCAGTTTTGAATTAAGTAGAGTGTGAAGAACGCTATGTAAATGATTGATTAGCTTATGATCAATTTTTATGTTACATACATGTACTTATAAAAAAAATTCGCTTTGGGCTTTGATGCTTAAGAACGGAGAATGGAAGTGGTTGTATTGTTCTTGATAGTAGGAATACAAAATCTAATAGCCTTTAGGATGCCATTCCCATTCATCTTTAGCATTACCCATGGATTGGATCTACAGATATTCTACTCATGTAAAATAACATATGGGGATTGTGTATATCACCGTAAAGATTTCATGGTGGAATTTGTTGCATGTGGCATGTGGGTTTCTGAAAAAGTTATGAAATGAATTTCTGCAGAGTCAATGCCAATGGAAGATAATATGCCTTGTCAATGAATTAGGGTGCAGCTTGACTAGTGTTCAAGACTTGCTGGGGCTTAGATTTACCGACGTGTGAACCACCGGAGAAAACATGGAAAAGGATAAATAGGATTGTGGTTTCTGCTTGTGAAGTTATGGAAATTTGTTTGAGGTGGGTAGTATCTTAGGATATATCTTAATCTTGCTGGTATTGTGGCAGAAAAAGAAGCATGTGCAAAAAATTAGTAGTCTGGGAGAAAGCTTCTTTGGGGGTGCGATCTTTAGCAGGAATTCCATTACTGTTGATCGTAGGTGTTTTGACTCTTCTCTTAAGCTTTCTTGCACAAAGATTGATAGGGAGTAGAGTTTAATTTATGTGGTCGTATCCTGTGCACAACAGAACTATGAGAACTAGATGATTGAGTTTGATTTGCTAGATAAGGGGTGGGTGGTGGATTTAATAGATTGAAAGTTGAAACAATATACATTGATGTGAGGTCAAAAGATCAGTATTCATTGACATAAAATACTCCTGATTCAGCAGAGTATAAAATTTTTAACTGATGTGGTCAACTAAGAGTTGTGTTGTGACGTAAATAGTTTGAGTGAGACATTATAGGTTTATGGTATTGTAGAATCAAATGTGACATATTAACGCCAATATCTGTTTTTTGGGTATTCATTTTGAGATATAATCGTCTATACGGAGAAGGTGGTAATTTGCTGTCAATTGTTTATGCCAGGACGAGTAGGATAGGGATGGTGACTAGTGACAATGTAGCCTTCCCATTGCTAACAAAGGCGAGTGGATGACTAGGATGTAAAGGTTTTGTTTGCTAATGTTCTAGATCGTAAATCTAGGAGCTATGCATTCACTATTAATTTTTCATATTTTGGAATCAACCAAAACACGAAATTACAGAAGTCTTGCGCTTTATAGCTGATATGAGAATGATAGCCATGATCTAGTTAAGGTGCAAAGTGGGGTGGGTTATGCAGGAATGCCTAAACACAACTTGGCCTGGTTTTGTTTGTTTTTCCTTTGTGGGTTCTTTAAAGAGGCATCTAAGTTTCTTGGAGCACTTATCCTAACCTCCTATGCACATGTAATCCTTCCGTTTCACATGCATCAAGATCATCTTAAGCCCCTCCTTTTTGCCATTTCTTCTGCCCTGCGACCATTGCATCCCGAATATTATGTCTTGTTGCATGCAAGGGTCTTGAATGTTACTGGTTACTGATTTAGACAACTTAACTCTCTTTTTTTGGTGCTGCATTGGTTTTCAAATCTTTATTTTTGAGTAAGATATTTTTCTTTGCCTTCCTCCATTTCACGATTTTTCTTACATGCCACTGCAATTTAATTTAGAAATTTTTTACCTGCATTGCGTTTCATTGTCTTCTGTTCTGATTTTTGTAACCTTGTGTTAACAACAGGTAGTTTGAACCTTCATGCAATAGGAGAAAAATTTACCTGGGTTAGATGTTCCAAGTCAATATGTATTAGTTTGTAGGAGAAAAATTCTGAGGTGCGTTAGGCCTCCCACTTTGTCGTTGATAATAACTACAAACAGGTTTGTGGTTGAGATAAGGGACTACTTTGAGTACGTGGAGTAATGATTAGTGGTAGATATAGACCCAATTTATAAAGGACTTTGAAATATCACATTCTACTGTGTTTTTTACTTTTTTGGTATTTTTTTACCAAGTAGAGAATCGTTTCAACCATTTTCGTTGGTTACGTGTTTACCATACTAATTTTGAATCTATATAATTAGGAGTGATAAAGTATGACACGATTCGTTAATAAGATACAAACATATACTAAATTAGAGAATTTGACTCTTCCTTAAATTACATGTTTAGTAAACGAGTAGGTTCAATACGACACGATTAATAAATGAATTGGGTATGAGTGAAGTCAGTCAAAAGAAATACACGATATGAATCGTTTATATATTTGTTATATATAGTTAATACACGATATGACCGATTCGGTAAACACCAACTAATAAACGAATCGGATATGAAAAAAGTATTTTTTGACACGAATTTACTAAGATTTGATACGAATCTGTTTTACCCGATACAAGTGACATGCCTTTATATAATCATACTAGGGATAACTTGTGCTTGAAGACGCGATAAGTAAGAAGTGATGGATTGGGGGAAAAAAAATCAATGTTAATAATTTTGAGATGAATGTTAATGGCTGATGAATGAGTCTATTTAAGACCGTTGAATGAGTTTATCGAAGTCTGTCATATATATATACTAGTCATAACTCGTGCCTAAAGATACGATAAAATATAAAATTCTAGCGTCCAAAAAATTGATCCCACTATATTAATTTTTTTTAAAATATATTAATTAAAAATTAATTAAATATTAAATAATTAAATATATGATAAAAATGAGTGATGTGATATTTTTAGGGAGAAAATATATAAATGATTAAATATGTGATAAAAATGAGTGATGTGATTTGACGTTTAAGTTTGACAAAGGAATTATAGATGAGATAAGTGATTGATGATGGTTTTGAGGGAAAAAATATGACTGAAATAAAATTCAAACACACTCCTGTTTTATTATATATATATATATATATATATATATAGTAAGATTTTTTTGGCAAAATTTGAACTTTAAAAAAGCTATTTCTTTGATTTTAGATTTAGTATTACATATTGGCCTAGGTTAGTTGGCTTTCTCTCAATCCCCTAACTAGAAGGTTGGGAGGTTAAAACTGAAATGATAGATTTAAATTTGAGGATAACAAATAGAGGATTGCAGTGTTTACCAAAAAAAAATTATTAAATCGATGTGAATGGTTGAATTAATTTATGAGATTCAATTCAATAAATTTTTTAGTAAACAAATTTTTGGTAACAACCTTTTTCTAATAAATATAATTTATCCTTAAAAAAACAAAAGGCAATATTACAGTAACATATCCTTTCAAATTTATAATTTCTTAAAGTTTAAGTTACAAGTTTTAAAAGTATAAATTATAACTGCAAAAATCACGACCGATCTTAAAAAATTATGACCGATCGTGAAAACTAAAACTTTTAAAATAAATGTATAACTGTTGAATGAGTATTTTTGATTGATCATAATATTTTATGATCAATCATAAAATTATAGAAAATTCCATTTTACCTCTTAAAGATACAAAAATTTCAAATTTGCTCATGAATGATTAAATTTTTCACATTATCCTTTCAAAGAAATAAAAATGTTATAATGTGATCTACTGTATATATTTTTGTTTGATTGTCCGTATATGTTGTGCCAAATCAATCAATTAGAAATTACAAAACAGATGAACAACTAAACAGAAATAAAACAGTGAATCACATTATAATTTTTTAATCTTTTTAAAAAGGAAATGTGAAAAATTTAACCATTCAAAAGACATTAAAATCTTTTATATTTTCCAAAATTATTTTAAACAATTATAACTTCATCTTTGTGGGAAGTGTAAAATTACCCTAAAAGGAAACGATACAAGGAATCTACAATATAAACAATAAAAAGTAGGGTAGATACATGCACCCACATGATCAGCATAATCCAAGAGTAAGAGATAAAAAGCAGAAAATGACATTGTCGATGACTAGATGCAACTAGGTGCAACTTATTATCTTATGCACAGGAACAGGATGCTTCAAAACCACTGACATAACATAAAACTACGCATTGAACTTTCACACAAACACGATCTGACGTTCTATATATCTGCTCAGAAGATAATATCATGATGTTCAGTAGCAGCAAAGTCATCCATCATCATCCAAAGGTTCACCGAGTCCGACTCACTGGTTCCCCCAAACTGACCCAACTCAGGCTCCAATCCCAGGAAAGATTCCAACTCGGAAATCTGTTCTTTGAACTCATATTCATCATCTACCACTGAGTTGAGGTAGTAGGGTTGGCTGTGGACCTCAAAACCCATCAATGGTTGTGGAGGTGACGGCTCGGTTGACGGCGAGTTCTCTTGAGTTGACTCGGGAATGATACACCTTTTTTTGGGTGGGGGTGGTTGAGCAAAATTGAGCTTGGCCTTATCGCCGCGGATGCGCTTGGCAGCCTCATCATAAGCTCTGGCGGCTTCTTCGGCGGTGTTGTAGGTTCCGAGCCAGACTCGGACACCCTTTTGTGGGTCACGTATCTCAGCTGCCCATTTTCCCCATGGCCTCTGTCTTATCCCTCTGTACATGCTCTTCCGAGGTCTCAGAGTCTGACTCGCTCCCTGAGTAATCTTCTGAGTCTTCTCACTCGTCCCTACAATCCCAAACTCATTCTTCTTCCATACTCATTTTACAGAACACTCGTATGTACGTAAAATACAAACAGATCATACTTTACAGAAAACCCATGTATATATTCATAGTCTACAACATGCATGCATATATATATATCTATGGGTGTGTGTGTGTGTGATGCGCATGCATCATATTCATATATTTATTTAGGTTGGCACTACTACCCGCCATGCAGCATCTAAAGTCGCATACATGTATGTATGCCATCATGATCATGGAAGTATACATATGTAGCTCTGGATGCATGCGTATATATATGTGTGTGTGTGTGTGTGTGTACCTCACCTTGGTTGAGTTGCTGCTTCTTGAGCGTGGCCATGTTATCAGACTGGTTGGAGTGGTCTTTGTCGCCGGAATAGTTGAAGCCCCCGAGTTCAGAGATGGTGTCCAACGCATCCCGGAGGTCATGGTTGGCCAGTTTCCGGCCACGTTGGATCGGGACGTCGTCGGAAATTATTGCACCACCACACATCTGTTGTTACTTCAAGAGACAAGTTAAGAGAGAGAGAGAGAGAGAGAGGGAGAGAGAGAGAGAGAGAGTTGTGTGCGGCATATAGTCAGTGGGGGTTGGTGGGGGCTCGATTTATCGAATAACAGTTACAAGTTGCTACCAACCAATTCAGAAAAAGAGTAATCTAGATCGATTAAATTTGAAGTCTAAATAATATATCAGTTGATTATTTAAAATTTTTATTGGAGCCCAAATAACATGACAATAATGCATGAAAGAAGCTCAAATCAACTGTCATGTCATTTGGATTTCAAAATTTAATCAGTCTAACATTACTGTTGAAAAAGAGGACAAGAGCCAACGATGACTTTTTTATTTTTATTTTTTTATTTTTTAGAATAATGTTATTAAGATCTAAAAAGAAATTATTTAATTTATTATTGTAAGCAATTTAGATCTCAAAATTAAATATTTTTATCTCAATAAACCAACACAAGATTTTAACGAGATGGCAGAGCATCTGAGTTCCAACTTTGGACTCAAGCTGATAAGCTGAGGTGAGAGGTTTGGCGTGTAATTTGTAAACATGATATTCTAATATAAATAAGTTCAAGAGTTATCATCTTAATAATAATATTAAATTATGTCACTATTACATTATTATATTAATAAATTAAATTTGATTTTTAAGTCCTAATAGCGATACTCTTCTATCAATCAAGCGGACTACTCATCTCCTATGCTTACCACTGCAGAAGCCCAAAATCAAATGTACCTAGTAGTCTTACTATGTGAAGAAATTGTTTTCGTAATACAAGCTCGTGACAAACATCACAATAGAGTAATTTTACTGATCTCTCTTGGTAGGGGAAAATTATTTGCTTTGCTAATAGCTTCCTTGGTACTGTAACCACCAAGGAAAAATTAATGGTGAAGAAAAGACCAAAACGGAAATGGCAATTTGAAAGAAGATATACTGATGTGCACAACGTGGAGCTAAGAATAGCAGTACCAGTATAAAACCAAATAGAACAGGCCTGTGCTGGAAGCAGAAAGATTCCTTATATGGCCTCATCCTAAGAAACAGGCCAAAAAACATTGCTCGTTCTCCCGTCCCCTGAGAGAAAATGGTGGTCTCTGCCTTCACTGCTTTCCTCAACCATTTATCTTGCTTCCATGACTTGTAGTCTAGTTTATTTTGGTTCCCAATCTTGGCATGTATAAATAACTCAAAAAACGTCACAGAATTTATAATTATTCCTCAACTAAAAAGACAACCCAGCACACGAGACTTGCATCCTTGCCGGTTAGTCAATTTGAGTGCTTGATCTACCAACTAGCCATCACAAAAGCCAAAACCATCCCCAATTCCTCATTGCTGCTTAAAGTCAGCATATTACTGTAATTTCTTTTTCTTTTGCTCGAGTAGGTTTTTCCTCGGTTACCAACTATTTTTTTTCCTTCTCTGAATTTGTTTTTTTTTCTTCTCTGAATCTGTTGTTTAAAGATCTTAGTGCAGATATTATGGTTGTCCCTGAACATCCTTATTATTTTGTGACACCGTAAGATTTCCAAGATCAGAAGAAGTCCATATTATACAGGAAACACAGGACCATATCAACTGCATGCAGATCAATGATCAAAAAGCAAAAGTAAGAAAAGAGCCATCAACAATAAAACCCAACTCATACACAGGCAAGACACATCGCAAAGCAAAAACATAACTACTTATAACTTTGTCTTTCCAAAGCCAATTTGAAGCAACAAAGAAGAACAACTTCCAATCACAAGCAACAGGGTATATGAACTACAGTACATTATAAGTGTAAATCACAAGACAAGCATCAACAAAGTAAGTCAAATTTTCAAGAGAAACGTTATAATAGCCCCCACAAGTTGATATGAAGATGGGAGATAGTGTAATCAAGCATATGAGAAATGAAAAGGTTCACAAATAGAATTCCAAAACTTCTCTACCCGGCCATTTTAGTCAAGCGGTGAATGGTACTTCTTGCGAGCCTGTTACCAGGATCAAGTTTCATAACAGTCCTGAGGTCTTCTGCCCCAAGCTTGTACTTTTCCATACTCTCATATAGGAGGGCCCGCTGTACAAGGACAGATACATTGGTACTGTCCTGTTCTAGTACCTGCAAATATAATGCAAATTATTAACTCTCTTCCTACACAAGCAATGTAATCAATGAAATGGTTACACAACATTAAGCAGGTAAAGAATCAAGCGACAGCTCATGAAGCTGCAAAGCAAAATGAATTGGACAGTGCCATACATGCTGGGCCCAATCAAATAAATATGTGCCACTTAATTAGCTGCCATCCTATTCTGGCTATGTTCCAACACTTCATAACATGAGATTGCGTCAAGGCATGTGTAGCAGAGGACATGTTTTGGATCAATATATCTCTTGCACCAGCTGGATCAGCTTATGATGTTCAAAAGGCATATTGGGTAGCAGAGCTTAAAGAGTTATCTGAGAGTTTTATGACTAAAAGATTATCGGGATGCTATAAGAACTCAAGCTAATTTCTACAAAAATGTGTAAATGGAAATTAAACATATGAAGTATGAACCCTGAAATTCTTTCAACAGTTTAAAGTTATGATCATACCTTCGTACAGTCAGCGACAGCCTTCTTGTACTCCCCAACTTCTTTGTAACAAGAAGCCCGGCATGATAAGACCTCCATTGTGCCAGCATCATCACCAGCCTTGTCAAGAAGAATTACAGCCCATGACAACCACTTTATGGCATCAGGATATTGCCCCTGCTTGTAATTATCCATTCCCTTGTTCTTTGCCGTTGGTGCAGTAACCCCAGAAGGCGGGGGAGGAAGCCCTTCAAGCTCAGTTGTCCTTCCATTGTCATTCCCTCCCCCAAATTCTGATTCAAAACCCCAATCATTGCCTCCAGAAAACTGATCATTGTGCAGCCCTTCAGACTCTTTTGTCGCAACCCCACCCGAGGCCGAGGATGAGGAGAACAAAGAATCAAACACATCAACACCAGGGGAATGCACAGATGGTTGGTTCTGAGAAGCAAAACTCCCAAAATCGTCCATCTTTGAAGAAGTATCCATGCTCGAACTATTATTTTTTGTGGGAAAAGCATTTGACATAAATGACGATGTACTCGGTTTCGAAGCATTCTTAAAATCCCCGAATGAATCATCTCCCAAATTGCTCTTATTATTACCTTTACCTGCCGAATTAATATTAGCATCCGGCTTTGACCCAAAATCAACCAAATTGCCAAATGGGTCTTTATTTGAGCCCATCCCTCCACCACCTGTGGCTCCACTTCCACCCATACTCTTCAGGGACGGACCACCAAGATTGGGACTTCTGTTGCTAGCAGTAGTACTCACATTAACATTGACACTGCTATTGCTATTGTAAGCACTTGTATAGCTCCCAAAACTCTCAGAAGAGCCCCAGTTTCCACTACTTTTCACCGAATTGCCCGTCTTTGGCAGAGAATCCGCCACATTCCCCATCGAAAACACATTCTTATTTGACACCGGCGTTGCATTTTTCAAAGGCGCATTACTATTTGTACCCTTATTCTGCCCTAATGCCGAGCCCACGAGATCGCCGAACAAATTAGGGCTTTTGTTCCCAATTCCAATATTTGAAATGGAATTGGTCATAGAAGGCGTTGAAGACCAACTTTTCCCGAATATGTCACCAACCATCGACGTTGAGCCGGATAATGAACCCGGCATAGCCGATTGACTCGGTGCCGCCGGTTGGTGAGTCCAGGAGGGTTTGTTGGATTGCCATGACGTCGTATTAGGCTTTGAAAATGAAGATGCTGAATATGAATACGAGGTTGTTTTTTTGTTCTTTTGATCGTTGAGAGATCGAGAACGGTTTGTGTTGACACCGAGATCGAACTCGAAGTTGTTTAGAGATACATTTTTATTCGATTTTCCAATATTCGAATTCATTTTTTATTGAATTTTGCGGAAGATTACGGAGATCAAAAGAACAAGAAACTGTAATTATAGTATATATGTAGATCGGAGAGAAGGAAATGAGAGATCTGGTCGATTTAGAACGTACCTGATAAGAAAGAGATTGCGAATTCGTGATCCGAAGAGACAGTGTGTCGATCAGAGCCCAATTATAAAAGTCTGTCTGCGATTGTGCTAACCTGCGTCTTGATCGCGCAGAGAGAGATGGTGGTGGTGGCAAATGTTCAACGCAGCTTGCTAGCTTTGGTTTTTCGAAAGTTTAAATTAGGACGGAAATGGATGGTAGAATGTGTGATTTAAAGATTACAAAGGGGGAGATTCTGTAAAACGAGGTGTTCTGGTCGGTTGTTCCATTCGTATGGTTTACTGGTGATTGTAGATGGTTAGGATTTACAATACAAAACTTAAGTTGATGAATTTGACCGTGCATAATTTTATTATTAATGATATAATTGTGGCTATTTTGTTAAATAAATTTTTATTTGATTTACTAATATTGTATGGTCGGTTTGTTCTATATGTGTTATTGTGCATATATTCTCAACTTAATTGTCTAAGATGATTTAAATGTAATTGAAGATGATATTCAAAAAATTCATGATAGTGTAACTTATTGGACAACATCTCTCAAAAGAGTGGAAGATTTAAATGAAGTGATGAGGATTAAGGAGTTTTGAAGCGAGGCAAGGAAGTGATTATGAATTGCAACTTTCTCCTCCATCTTTTTAATCATATATTGATTCCAAATGTTCATTAATTGATGATTTCTTTGATTTTAATAAGTTTATACAAACAAGAAATATAACAAAAGCACGTGAGAGGTCTAGATCGTTATTTAAAAGATGGTATGATGTCAAGAACTTCAGTTTTTGATATACTATTTTTTTGGAAGACAAGTGGTCTCAAGTATCACTTGTTTCAAATGATTGCTAAAGATCTTTTTGTTATTTTTGTTTCTATTGCCTCGGAATCTGCTTTTAGTACAAGTGAGAGGGTGATCAGTCCACTTCGCAATAGACTTCTTCCATCTACAGTACAGACTTTAATGTGTTCTCAAAGTTGATTATGTCCTAAGAACAAGGTATTAAAATATTATTTGTGTGTGCATCATAATTTTTTTGGGGGGGTGACTAATGCATTATTATTTTTTTGTTAGATTCATCTACTTCGACGGGCTTGAAGAGCTACACATTATTGGAGGATCTTAATATTGATGATGAATTATATCATTTTAGTTGAAAATTTTTCCTTGGAAGAATCTATTTTTTTTTTCTTTTAATGATATAGGAAAATAATATTGAAGAAGTAGATTCTACCACCACCGATAATGTTAAGAGATGATTGAGTTGATAACTTTTCAATTTCAACCAATTAATTTTATTAGTAAATACAAAATAATTTTTATTCAATTATTATAGTTTTTTATGTTTTATTTTCTTTATTAAATTACAGGTGTGAAACTACATGGCAGAAAAGTTTTTCTATTACAAATATTCTGGTAGTAATTTGGATATTTGTTGTTTGTATTATGTTGGAATATGTTATGCTATATTATGTTGTATTAGATTATGTTAGATTATTTAGAATGTTGTTAGATTATTTAAAATGTTAAATTTATTTAGAATTTTGGATTATATTGTCTTGAGCTTAAGCTTGGGCTTAGGCTAGGGCAGGTACAAGGGCAGGGATTAGAAATTTACTTGTGGACCGGGATGAGAATGAAAATTATACCCGTTAATGGGGTGGACCAGAAATAAACGGAATTTTTTTAAATGGGTACGAGAATGAAAACTACACCCCCGTCTCTACTTCGGTCCACTGACATCCCTACATTCAACCGAAATTTATACTTTATTTACCATTGCTGCAAATTCCATACTGGCCCCGAAAGAATTAAGGATTCCTCTACATCTAATTGGGCAATCCTCAGTTCACAATCAATGTGAAGGCAAAGTGTTGCAAGAAAACGATTGTTTTCTTTCAAGAGTAATTTGCAAAACACACCTCCAGTTCCTATTTGATCCCTGAAGTTTAAACTTCAACAATTAAGTCCTTAAAATTGTGATTTGAGTCGCGACGTTGTCTTTCGGTCTAGAGCTGTTCAAATATGCTAACGGGATATCATCACGTGATAGCAACGTGACATGGTAGAGGGGTACTTATGTCCAAACAAAATATTTCCCGCCTATGGTTATATCTAATCTTTCATCTTCGACCTATCTTCTAAGTATAAAATGGAGACATTAGTGTGAAACATCAACACGGAGACACAAAGAGATTTTTAGTAAGAGAGGGACATACTTAAAGAGATTCTTAAAACTCCTTGAAGATTGACACATCAATACGAAGAGGGACGCTAAATGATAATCTCAAATCGCAAATCGTCGAGTATTTATGTCTTGCTATCGCGTGATAATATTCTATTAATAGAATTCAATAGATCTAGGTGGAAGGACAACATTGTGATTCAAATCACAATTTGAGAACTGAATTCAAACTTTAAGACTGTGTTTTGCAAATTATCCTTCTTTCAATTATGAGTAATGTTATTGAAATCTAAAAATAAACATAATTTATTGATCTAATAATGTGTCAAGTGATAAAGTTTAAATAGAGAAATTCAATAATTATCATTACAACAATATTATTAGACCATGTCAATATAACATCATTATGTCAACAAATTAAACCAACCTTTTAAATTTCGATGACAATACTCTTCAACTATTATGCATGCATTGAAATACGAGTTTCCCAAGAAAACAACCAGTTTTTGTGATGCATTTCTCTTTTATTTTAATTAGTTTTGAATGTTATTATTGTTGAGAAAAAAAGCGGTGGGAGTAAGGCACAACACCCAACAACCACCCTGTTAAGCCTTCACCGGTAGAATTATAATGTCCCTGACAACGTCTAGAACACCTCTTAGGCCAAGACTGAATTAGGCTAGCATAACAGTCAACCACCAATCTCTAATGAAAACACCAAGACTCGAACTCCCAACCTTTAGACAAGGAATAAGATCGATATTACCACTAAACCACACTACTCGACGATTTGATCATTTTTTTTGGGTTGGCGTGGTAATTTTGCTTTGAATTGTGTGGTGGTGGTTGTTGCAATTAAGATGTATAATGAAGAATGAGTATATCTCTAGGAGCACTATAAGAATTAGAGTTTTTTGAGACAAATGTTTTATAACTTGTCTATTTACTATCATAAAAAACATATTTTAAAGAAAAAAGGTTTTTGTGTGGCAGTAGTATTGTCATTAAAAATTATTTACCGCCATAAATACTATTTTAGAATCCATGTATTATGATCGGGCGTTGTAGTGACATGTCTTTTCATAGTAAGTGGAGTTTCAAAAAGTCTTAATGACAGCAACGAGTTGTCTCAAATAGTATTTGTGACAGTTAATAAATATTTTACGACAACACTACTGTCACAAAAGTCTTTTTTTTCTTCGGAACAAGTTTTTTTTGTGATAGGGACATAGCCGTTGCAAAAAAATTATCTCAATAAACCATAATTCTTGTAGTGAGTACACAATTTTGTTTTTTTTGGTTTAATGGTTAGTGGTGTACAGACTAACTTACGCGTATTTCAACTAATCTTTTTCTCAGTCTGGTCAAAGATAGGTCATCTATGCCGAGACAAGGATATTCAATCTGAATAAATCTTTCTTAGTCTAACCCAAAAAAATTACCAAAATTTAAACTTATGATATCTAAATTTACAGTTTATCCTTATTATCGATTGAATTACCTTCCGGTTAGAGTATACAATTAAAGTAAGCTTAAAATTAATCAAAGACTCTGGTTATTTCTAAGAAAAATGAGTTACAGACTCAAGACCTAAATGACTATGCATTATTCTAACAAATGCGCGTAATTTAGTCCAAACATCCCAGTTGACAAAAAAAAAAAAAAAAACGAAAACATAACTATTAAAGGGAAGACTTCAAACCCAAAAACTATCAACTTTTGTAGTTGCAACTTCTTCAATTTGTTCTGCTTGTTTTTGACAGACTTCATTTGTCCTTTCTCTCTTGATTTTCTTCATCTACATTCAATTTAATACACACCACTAACCTGCACCATTCATTCGTTTAGTGACGGATCCATTATTTTGTCCTTTTTTTTTTGAACAGTTTATACATGTGGAGGGGTGGATGAGCTTCGTACCCGAGAGTTTTAGGTCTAATGGCGGGGTGAAATGGCCAAATCTTAGGTATAGAAAATCAGATGGACAACATTGATAATATTTTTTTTTATCAATTCAAATTTCCGATGCGTGAAAATATATCGCACAAAAAAGAGTTGAATACAAAGACATTGACATAAAAAGTAGACGGACAAAAAAAAAAAATGTTTTGATGCATATCTACTAAGTTGTCTATCAAAGCGTTACTCGACATTCTTTTCCATCACAAAAATCATATATGATTGAATTCTTATCAAACTTTTTAACAATTTCCTTTTCTAATAATACATTAGACTACTTGAGAGGGAATATTTTTTTATGAAAGTTGGTGGACCATAGTTTCTATTAAAACTTTTTCTTGTCGCTATTTGAAACAGTTAAAGAGAATGAGATTGATGAGATTCAAACCCGCGAGCTAATGGTCCAACAGCGGGCTGCAATGACCATTAAGTTAATCGTTGATCCTCAAGCTATTTAAAAATATAAAAAAGTGATGGAGAGGTCAATTCTCTCAACAATATCATGTCCTTGAAGAGATGAATAGATATATTTAGGAATTTGAAAAATTACACGGGTCGTGTTGTTTTTGGCCATATGATAGCTCCGTCACTGTATGTATGCTTCATTGACACACGTATCAAATTAAGATAAATTAATTGTCGGATATAATTCTTGAAAACTAAATTTAGTTTCCAACAAAGTCAGCACACCATGAATCAAATTAAAATTTCCACTACTAGAATCTATCTGCAGGGTGGAGGGTATTGAAAACCGGAGTAGCCTACTCTTGCATTTACACATGTAGATGTGAGCCTCAAGTTGCGGCTATGCTTCAAATTGACGTTGTTAAATCGAACATTTTGACAAGGATTAATCGAACTGCACATTAGATTTACTGCAACTGCTGACATTGATGTTCCTCTGATGTTTTCAAAATTAACATCGCTGATCTTTATGAGGGATGGCTGCATATCATTGATCAAAACCCGAGTTAGTAATCTTTTTTTTGGGTCTCAGAAAGATAAATAATTTTATTGATTCACGAGGTTTGGTAGAAATTTAATACCAGAGAGAAATAGAGAGAGAGAGATAACCTTGGTGGATCTGGTGTGGTAACCCTGGTCAATGATGATGGGGTTTTGAACATTGTTCATGACAATATTGCTGAAAAGAATTCCTGAAGCTCTGCTTGGAGTTTTTGCTGGATATGTCTTGATTCTGAGACCATTGGTTGTACCTACTAAGGTGCAGTTTCTAACAATGATCCCTGTCACGTCCATTTCGTTTGGTAACTTGCCAAGGCTACCCACACTGTTTCAGACATGAAAATGGCAAAATGCTCAGGACTGCACATATATAAAACTAAAAGAAACAATGACATGTTTGGTTTAAAAAACTGTTTTTGATTTTTTTTTTTGTGACGCAGAATTTGTTTAGTTATATGATTTCAAAAACAATTATACTGAATAGAAAATATTAAAACTTGTTTGAATAGTAACTCAAAAAATAATGAAAATAGAAATGTGATAGTGGTGGAGTAGTGGATGTGGTGGTGGTGGTAGTATTTTTTAGATTCTAAAAAAGTTGTTTCCAAAAATATACAAAATAACTCTAACTTGTTCTCTAATAAATTTATCTAATTTTTGTTCTCAGTTTTCAAAAAAACATAAACAAAAACAAAAAAAAAAATTATTGGCCAAATAATTTTTCTTCCAGAAAACAGTTTCTGAGATACAAACCAAACAAGACCAATGTTTTTTGTGATGCAATCCATATAGTGAAGTACTACATGCCATACTAAGATAAATAGAAACTATATAGATCATGACGGATTTTTGATATAATGTCACTTTGCCATACCATAAGATAAACAGAAACCATTTTCTCCCTTCAATAATTTTGGTATGCTAATAGTCACTAAAGTCATTAAAAAAGTTTAGCCTAATATTTGCTTTCATATCGACCGATTTTAGGGTTACTGTGTTATTTCGGTTTCGTTTAATCACGCTCAAACTTTGTGGTGTCACCAATCTTTTCACCCAACTTGTATGTAAAAATGGGGAAGATAGAGATTTTGTCGATAACCTAAGGAGTAATTCAAGTGGTAAAAAAGATGAGTCGTAAATTCAAACGTCTTGAATTCGAATTTTGATAACCTCTCATTAATACCTTAGTCCTGACATAGATAACTTATCTTTGATCGGACTAGTGAGAGGATTAGTTGAAATGTACGTAAGCTGGTCCAGACACACTTAATCATTGAACAAAGGTAAAAAAAAAGAAGAGATTTTGTTGGGTGAAGTATAGGTACCTGATGCCATGTCCAGGTCCGCAGGTGACTTTGGTAATGTTAACATTGGTAGCTCCTTGGCCAATAGAGATGCAATCATCACCAGTCCTGATGACATTTCTCACAATTCTCACTAAATTTGATTTGCTGATGTGCATGCCGTCGGTGTTCGGGCTATCGGCCGGAGAAGTTATGTGAAGTCCGATTGCCCTGAAGAGATAGCTGTTGGTTATGTGCATGTGGAATCCCATGCTGTTCACCAAATTGATCCCCCTAATGATTGTATCTTTCATTTGGCTGAAATAAATAGCCTGCACAACAATGCAAAACACATCATAAATTTGTTTTGCTTCTCACTTTAACCACCATAGCAATGTGTTTGGTTTTGGTATTAGGGATGAGATTGGACAAAATTAGTCTGTCGATCACTTAATATCAAGTTCAGACCAATTACGTTGTAAATGTCGGGATCAAAACAATGGATAAATTAAGTATATCCCAATCGAATTGCATATTAGAAAAAGTATCACAACTCTAATCCATAATAGCATTAAATTGACTCATAATTCAAATAATACAAAAAATCACTACAAGAATTAGGTTCTTTTGACACATTTTTTTGTGACAATTGTGTTTACTGTTACAAAAAAACGTGTTTTTGAAGGAAAAAAGGTTTTGTGCTGATAGTATTGTCACAAAATGTTTATTTAGTGTCTCAAATACTATTTAGGACGAAACATTACCACCATAAAAAATTTTTAGGACTCTAATTATGGTGGCTATTATGGCGGCATTGGCTGCCATAATAAATGGAGTCTTAAAATATTTTAACGGTGACAATGAACCGTTTCAAATAGTATTTGGGATAGCAAATTACTTTTTCGTGACAACATTATTACCACAATTTTCTTTTTTAAAACAGATTTTTTTATGACGGTGAATACAATTACCCCAAAAAGCATGTCTCAAAACACTTTAATGCTTATAATGAATTGACCAATTATTGCGACCGATAGAGATTGAATTAGACTCAATAGTTCAGCCTCATCCCCGTTGTGCCGAAAAAACTAGAAAGAAGAACAACCCAGAAGCTTACAGCTGGGAGATGGACGCAGTTAGGGTTCTCCTTGCAATCATTGTATTTCCACACAGCCTGACCTTGTCCATCGAAAGTGCCTCCGCCGGTGAGAATCAAGCCGGTGATGCCGTCGAATGTGATCCATCCACTACCGGAATATTCTGAGACATCTGCTACTGCTTTTAGGGTTCCCATAACTTGAAATGTTATGGGGGCTTGGCATTTGCATGGCCCTTGGAATACGGTTTCAGAAAGTTTGTAGACCCCAAGAGGAACAACAATCCTAACTCTCCCATTGTAATTACATGCAGCAGTCCATGTCTGAATGAAAGCCTGCATGGATAAAAAGATTTTTCTGATTTTAATGAGGAGTCAAAAGATTGCGATATCGGTCTTCAACCCAGGCCTCAGGCCTCATTCAAAGGCATGGTATCAACTATAGACTCATATGATATTGAAACGCATCAACCGTCGCGTCATATAAGATGTGATGAGATAGGACACAGAAAATACTATATAAAAGAATAAACTAAATATGATGAAACAATCCGGTCATATCAATAACAATATTCCAATTGACTCGGAGTTAATTTGAAGATGTTTCGAATGGTTAGATTGACTTGATTAAGACTCATGGGTTTACATGAAACGTGGAACTACTCAATTCGGGCTTGATTTATCTTTTAAACGAATTGAGTTTGATTAAATTTTTTAGATTTGTTTAGAAAATGAGCTTAAAATGTTCGGCTCGATTTACAAAATTTGACTCATTTATATGTAAAGTAGTCAAGTTACTCGGGTTCAATTTGTTTTAAACTTTTTTTTTAAACAAGTCGAATTTGAATAATATTTTTGGATTCGACTCGGGCTCGCTTGGATGAATTATCAGCCGTACATATAACAAAGTGTTCATGTAGCCAACTTCAAATATGAATGATCAAACGTAGGATTTATAATTAACATACATTTCCATTTTAAAATTTTAATCAATTCATGCACTATCGCATATAGAATCCAAACACTTTCTGCAGAAATTTGCCTGGGTGCTGTACAGTTCTTTTCCTGGGTGGGCACCAAACTGCATCACATTAAAAACCTTCTCAACGCCAACGCCGGCAGGGAGACGAGGACCAGCGGGACGGCGAGGACCGGCAACACGACCATGACCACGACCACCACCACCGAAAGCCTCGCAAGAGACCAGAGCTAAACACAAAACAAGCACCACAATTGTGCTAGCAGTTCTTCTGATGGCCATTGCAATCGACCCCCAAACCTATGCTACAATACCTAGTTTTTTTTTTTCCCCAAAAAAAACTTAGAAATTATATGCTCCTACCCCGAAAATTTAGAATTTTTTAGGGTATGAGCTCTCTTTTCATGGACTTAATGTTTATGCCTTACATTTAGTAGGGGAACAAAATAAATTACACCTAAATTTGGGGCTGGTGTTTTGCTCCTTCAAAGTCGGCTGCTTGCTTTCCCTATACACCTCTCATTGGTCTCCAATTCACCACTGGCTTTTCAACCCCCAAAATAGCATAAGGTATTTTTTTTAAAAAAAAAAAATCTCAAATACTGCTTTTTTGAAGGAGAATAATGCGGTGACAACAAGAGTATGTATCTTCCTATTTGTTCTTTTATTTGATTTTTTTTTTTTTTTGGTTCAACGGTTAGGGGTCTTCATCTGTTTTGGTTAGCTTACACGCATCTCGATTAATTCTTTCTCTGATTCGGTCAAAGACAAGCAATCTACACTAAGATTAGGGTATTTATGAGAAATAAATCCCTCATGGCTTGACCCTGAGAGATTATTAAAATTCGACGTCACCACATCTGAGTTTATAACTTATCCTTCTTACCCACTTGAACTACTGCTTACAACTCTCTCATTTGATTTCAGTTTTGGGGAATGAAGAACAATTAAGGCATATCAACATCAAAGAGAAACAAGTACACCAACAATACAACTATTCAAGTAGAAAATATACATGTATCATCACAATATGTATACCAACAAAAGACTACAACAATTGCGATGGAGGAAACATTCAACTACATCGATGTGTTATTCTTTGGTTATTGTATGTATAAAATTCAACCTATTTACGGGCGTGAGAAACAAATAAGATAAAAAGTAAAATATCAAACATACTTATCATATATTTTTATTCAGAGAATATTGATTACTATAATTATTTTTAAATCTTATCGTATCTCTAATAGTGTGTTCATACCGCAATAAGAAAAAAAATAATGGGAGTATATTCTAAAGGTGACTTTCACGAGGTAGAAGCCACTCCAATCCCAGGCAAGTGGGTACAAAAGTTTGGAATATAGGACACTTTGTGTTCTTTCCTAATATTGTGTTTCGGTTATGGATGAACAATTATTTAAAATTCCCTACGAGAAAACCCCATGAATTTCCCTTGTATTTTGATGAAGTTCAGATAAATATGAAATTGGCGAAGGTAATCTCCACCATTAAAGTAGGCTGTCTCAGATGATCAAGTCCCAGTGTGTCTTTGTGTTAATGCTAACATGAAAGAAAAAACGAAAGTGTAGTTTAAATGGCAACCAAGGAGTTCTAATATTGACAATTTTTGGGAGTTAAGTGACGAGAAATTTATAACATTCTTATGAATATTCTAATTCCGGAGTAGATAACTTGTCTTTGACCCGAATCAGATAAGAGAATAATTGAAGTGCACGTAAGTTGGTATGGATACTCCTGACTGTTGAACTGATAGGAAAAAAAAAAGATGACTTGGTACACGATACGTGCTCACATATACATATATTTTGATATATGTTGTAGAAATTTTAATTCCTTTTTGTTTTCCTGAATCTCTTGACAATATTATTGATATGATTATTTGGGATGACATGCTCAACTCGGCCTTGGATATCTTGAAAATCAAACAAATTTGAGAATACCCAAAAATGATTCTTAAACCAAGTTTACTTAATTGAAAAATCACAGCTCCTTAATTATTCATGTTCAAGCTTTCAACAGAGATGACTCTTTGAACAGTTGGTCACTTCCATATATATATTCAGGTTTCACCAACTATCATACCAGGAAAACTACGTTTGAGGTGAAAAAGAATCTCATAAAAGATTAGAATAGACTACTCATAGATTTCGTTTAAGCTTTTAAGTCAAGAGTTCTATTTTATGTCTGTCCAGATTCTAACACACTTATCCTTGCCCCAAAGTTGCACAAACACATATAAATTATGGAGAGAGAGAGAGAGAGCACTTAGCTAGCAGAGATATGGTATTTCTATAATACAAGAGTCTTACAAACATTAGCTACAAGCCTGGCACTAGCAGAAGAAACTCGGTGTTACAAATAACTTCTCCTTCATACTATATATATATATATATATATATATCCAACATAACTACATAAGAGTGCATGGCATGTTGAAATCTGCACTCTGCATATGACATATATAAAAGAGCTAATAAGCCATAGGATTTGGTTTTCTCTTCAACGATAATCCGTAACCAGAAACCCCCCAAACCTTTTGGCTGCCTCAGAGCAGTCCATAACCGTCTCCTTTGGTGCTGAAACTGGGGCTTGAACTTGATGATGAACCAAAGCATAGGCCTCTCGTGGCTGCCTATGCTGATAATAGTTAACCTTCTCATTTGCTATCGAGGCTTGAGGCTTAACAAAAACATGACATGGTTCGTTTGTTTGATGCTGATAATATCTCTCCGATGAGTCCCTTCGTTGAAAGCTTTTCTCCAGTGTATTACTGAAGTCTTCCTTCTGATAAACAACTGAATAGGGTGGTTGTGGTTGATATTGATACTGACAGTCTCTTTGAGCTCCTTGTGGTGGTGGCCTCTGTGGAGCAGGAAGCCTTCCCTTTCGTCCAAACACTTGATCCACAAAGCCAAAGCCTTCCAAGGCAATCTTAGTAAGGTCTGCCTGAGGTGCCATCAGAAAGTAGGTTATAGTTGCTGAGTGACAGTTATACAGAAGTTACAAAAGTTTTTTGGGTGCAAACTCTACATAAGGCAAAGCTGCTTTATATAGGAGAGCTTGGTCTCAAGAAAATGTTCAAGAAAAAAAAAAAAGGAACAAGAATCTTATGAGGGCCCTCTAAATTCCCACCTTTGGGCAATTCCTTCGGCATATTTATTGAGGCCTACTTTCAAGAAGAACAGTAGAAGGCAGATTTTTTATGAAAGATTCATTTATTAATACATAAAGAGCGGCTCAATGCACGAGACACTCGTTCACTTTAGAACATCACTTTGGCATTTAGAGAAAGTAAGATATATATAATCTTGCTCTGGTTGTGGAGAAATTATTTCTGCAACTTAAATTCTTGACGCATATACTACAATGGAGCTACGTTATTGTTGGACCAAGGCTCACCATCGTCGTTTCCTGGTATAATAAGGACCCAAATTTTATCCCCGGATAAAGTGATGATAGTTGCAGATTGTCGTGAATCTGGTCTACTTTCGGTGGTTCATGGTTGTGAAAGGGTGTGTCAGGATTGTGAAAACTAAAATATCCTCTTTGACTAACCCATGTAAATAGAGTTGAATGTTAGAATTAGTGGCTTATAATTTGATGATACTATTGCAGATCTTGAATTTAAGTTTGTCTATTTGTCGCGCCTATTAATCAAAAAAATACGTGGTTAAAACCATTTAATTTCATTTAAAAAGAAAATGCCATGTCATGTCATATAAAGTGGTAGTAATTAAGTAGGTGCCATATCTAAGTAGATCTAGGCCAGGTATTCTAGGTGGCAGGGTTTGATTGTTTCTCCCGTGGCCCAAGCAAAAAAGAAAGCATACTTCTTCTTCTTTTTGCCAATAAATTGAGATTCGGGACTTAAGATTTTATATATATGTATATAGATTGCAGCCACTCATGTATGCTTACAAACAGTAGAGCATGGGAGTCCCAAGTTGGGACTGAGGAGGTTTTCTTGGAGAACACATATTATCCATTGGCATCTTTCCTTGAAATGCAAATACCTTTTTTATATTCTGTACACATTAATCAAAAGAGAATGATAGAGATGAGCACTAGATCGATGTTTGCTTTGGGGATGGATCAGGATGATAGATTAAAGTTTTCCGCGAGGGAGCATTGAACTCATCAGCTCAGCTTGGTTCATGTTTAACCGCAAGCAATCTTTGTTTGTGATCTCGTATATTTTACTTCTCCGACATCTTACTGAGTTTTCCCTTCATCTTTTTTTTTTTTCAAAAAGACGTTTTTATGGTGGTAAATTCTCATCTTTTATATACGGATAGAAAAAAAAATGATAATCTGGGAGAGAAATGCACTTTTATAAAAACAGTCTAGTATCACTGTCGATAGGAGCAGAATAGATGACTTACAACTGAAAATCAATTTTTTTGAACAGAATAGATGACTTACAATTGAAAATCAAATTTTTGAATCCATATATCGTACGATGTAATAGAAAGCTTAAAATACATCTGATGGTTCGCATAATTTGAGATCTAACAATGTTCCGATTCGTCACATAAACTGATCGGGAGCTGACGATTCCTCAACTCCCTCTTTTTGAGGAATGACTACAATTACAAGCAAGTGATTGAATGAGTGGGCCAGGGGGCAACACACATGCAGCAGATGTTTAAGGAGATGGTCTAAAAATGGGCCTGGTTATTTTCTTCCAAAGTAATCTCGTTGTATAATCAAATGTTAAGCATTCCTTGTACTCATAAAACTTGTCTTTAAATTATATTTTAATTAGGAGTAACTCGTGCTTGAAGGTATAGTGTAATGTGAATGGTTTTGAGAAAAATGCTGCTGACCGTTGAATGAGTCTATTTGAGACTGGTATATGATCTTATTGAAATCTAATCTATTTTATATTATAGATATTGATGAAAAAACAACGTTTAATCATTAACTATTAGCTAAATTGTTCTTCCCAACTTATGATTGATAATTGGGATAAAATACACTTTTAATCCTTAAAGTATGCGTGTAGTGTTTATTTGATCTTTAATCTTTCAATTATACTTATTTGGTCCCTGAGATTTCTAATTTATATCTACATGGTCCAATCTCAAACGTCTGTCAAAAAATCGTTAACAGCTCTGGTTATGCGCCAATAATATGAGATCAAATAGACATAAATTAAGAACTTTAGAAACAAAATAGACAAAAAATTAGGAACCAAACAATTGATGTGCAACCATAATCAATAACGATTTTCTAACGGATGTTTGGATTGGATCACATAGATAAAAATTAGGAACGTTGGGGACCAAATAGACACAATTAGAAGATTGAAAACTAAAAAACACTATTTACATACTTTGGAGACTAAAAATTTATTTTATCCTGGAGAATTATATAAATCTTCCGCAATTTGAACCCTTTCTATCCAATCCTAATGTGATAAAAAAACATGAGATTCAGTCTTAAATGAATCCGATACCTTCCTGGACCTATCCTTATGCTTCTCTTTTCCAATGCCTTTATCCATTGTAGAAAGTAGCATTCAGTCCATTGATTCCTCCCAACCAGAGCTTATCTTTGTCTACTAGGAGGCCATTATCTGGCCTCAGCCAAGATCCCTCGTAGGAGTGTAAATTTTATCGATGAATAAGATACGAATATGACACGATACAAATCTAAAATAACACTTTCCATTAATATGAATAACGATTAGGTCAAGTTAGTGTTAAAAATGATTAATATCCATTTAGATAATAATGTAAAAAGAAAAATGAACATTTTTATGTCATTTCATTTTCTATGAATTATTTTAGTATTAAATAGTCTATTATTACAACAAATATTAATATAACTACAATAAGAATCAAAATACTAATAGGACCCAAGAATGTTGTGACGTGAATAGACACTTATAGTCGATCAGTTACATTTTATGTTGGTTTTGCACAACGGATAATTAACACAAATAATATTTGTTGAAATATATGAATTCAAAGATAAGAAAACAATAAAAATATGATACAAAAATATAACGTGGTTCAATACAACATACTTATTTTGGCACACTGTACCTACATCCACGGATCAAGAATCAACATCGATATATTATTCACTAAAATTTGGTCATCTGGTAACTGATTATATAATACTCAATACTGTAAGTCAAACCTATTTAGATACAACTTGATTTTTATTTTTTTTATCACATGTCTAAGAGACATATTTATGATATATTAAAACTCTTCTAATATAATCCTATTTTATATAGGATTCTCACATTAATTATCCAATAAACTCTTATTCATGATAACTAGAGCATTTGAGTCAAATTCCAATAGCCTCCCTTGAACCAAATTCTTCAAATTTGATCATGCCCAAGATCGAGCTAATTCACTAATTTTTTCAAGCACTACGTGCAAATTTGCTCTTCAGAGTCGCCACAATCCTCTCTGTCTTTCAAGAGTTTATGTCTTGGCCTGCATCTCTGCCCGCGTCTTATCTGCTCTTGGGAGGTCTCAATGGTCAATGTTTCACCATTCAAAAGTAAAAGTATAGTGACTCGTAACCCACGAGACACCAAATTATCACTATTGAATTTATATCAGCCCAATAGCTCCCAAACCATTGGAATATCGTTACTTTAACTCTAATAGCAAAAAAAAAAGTGAAGAAACATCTTCAACAAAACACGTGTGATAATTCTTGAAATCCAAACAATCAGGAAACAATTTAGTCTTTCGTTTGATTTCATACCAACTTAATCTTAATTTTTTTTTTTTTTTGTGAATCTAAATATGAATTGTACATACGTGGCAATAGAGTATTCTTCAACATAAACACCAACTTGATCATTGAATCCAAATAACTTGATTTGATTGTTACACCAGGATCATCAATCTAGCTTTGATTGTTCTACCAGAATCATCAATCTAGCTTTGATTGTTACACAAGGAGCGTCAATTTGGCTTTGATACCACTTGTTGGTTTTTGTACAACGGATAATTAACACAAATAATACTTGTTGGAAGATAGGAAAACAATAAAAATACGACACAAAGATATAACATGGTTCGATACAATATACCTACTTTGGTACATTGTACTTACATCCACGGATCAAGAATCAACATTGATATATTATTCACTCAAATCTGGTCATCTGGTACCTGATTACATAATACTCAACCCTATTTATAGGATAATACTCAATCCTATTTATATGGATAAAATATTGTAACCTAAACCTATTTACATACAACTTGATCTTTATTTTTTCTATCACATGTCTAGCATACATATTTATGGTATATTAAAACTCTTTCAATATAATCTTATTTCATATAGGATTCTCACATTGATTAACCAACAAACTCTCGTTCACGATAACTAAGAAATTTGAGTTAAATTCCAACACTTTATAACTTGTTTGCGCCAAATTCCTTCAATTTTGATTAGTTAGTCCCATTTGTATGCTGAGGTTTCACTTAACCAGCATACCAACTTATCGATAAAATATTCATTACAATAATGATATTACGTGGTAATGCTGACGTGATATTATTAATCAATAATATGAAAACAAATAAATAAAAAAGCCCACTAAAATTAATAATTAATCATCAACATAAGCAAATAACAACACACTCTTCTTCTATATAATCAAATAACTATTCAAGTGGGTTCACCTTATTCACTTGATGTTTTATTATTGATTGATGATAAGCATCGGTGATATGATATCACGGTTGCATTCAATATTTTTCTCCAACTTATCCTTGCTTCAAAGTTGCACACACGAGAGAGAGAGAGAGAGAGAGAGAGAGAGAGAGAGAGAGAGAGAGAGAGAGAGAGAGAGAGAGAGAGAGAGAGAGAGAGAGAGAGAGAGAGAGAGAGAGAGAGAGAGAGAGAGAGAGAGAGCTGGGATATGGTACTACTGTAACACAAAGGTTTACAAACTTCAGCTACACTTAGCCTAGCACTAGCCGAAAACTAAGGAGGCACACAGATGATTTCTACAGTCCACCACAATAATGAACATAAGAGTGGCATTTCTAAGTCTGTATATAACCTAACAAAGGACAACTAATAAGCCATCGGCTTTTTCTTACGGTACTCGCTAATTAAAATTCCTCCAAGGTTCTGGGCTGCCTCGTAGTCCATAACACCCGTCTCCTTAGGTTCTGAAGCAGGTGCTTCATATTCAACATAAGCATAAGGCTCTTGTGGTTTATAGTACTGATAATAACTAACCCTCTCCGTTGTTGCAGAAACTGGGGATTGTTGATGAACCAAAACATGATAGGGTTCTTGTGGATGATACTGATAACAGCTAGTTCCTTGAGGCCTTGTTGGAGCAAGATTATACCTCTCCATTTGTTCGAACCCTCCGTTGTGATAAGCAACATAGGGTTGTGGAGGTCGATACTGACAATCTCTTTGTGGTGGTGGTGGTGGTGTTGGCCCTTGTGGAGCAGGTGGAGGCCTGTGTGAGGGAAGAAGAGGCCTTCCCTTTCTCCCAAACATTCCCTCCACAAGATCAAAGCCTTCCAAGCCAATCTTATAAAGGTCCGACTGAGGTGCCATCAGAAAGTAGTTTAGTCTCTGAGTGGCAGTTATACAGAAGTTTTTGTCAAGTGTGTTTGGTGCAAAGACTACACAAAGCAAAAGCCCCTTTATATAGAAGCTGAGACACATGGAAAAAGAATCTTGTAACGACCTCTAAATTCCTACCTTGTTGGCAATTCAATTCCTTCAGGATATTTGTTGTGGCCTATCTTTAAATAGTAGATTTTTATGGGGGCAATCGTGCCATTTTTTGTGATATGGAAGCTTCAATTCCTGATACATGAGAACCCAAATCTTAGCTGCAGATAAAAGTGATAGTTGCAGATTTGCTGTGTTTATCTAACCTACTTTGGGTGGGGGCTCAGGTTCTTGATTGTGTAAGAGTTTTTTTTTTAGGCGGCCGCATTGGTTAAATGTACTAATTTGATTAATCAATTAATCGACCTGCATAGATTAGTTTAGTAGTTCAATAATGAGTATAGTGTAAATTTACATATTTTCAGTATAAACATTTTTGACAATCTTAAATTTATGTCTAAAGACGACACGTAATTAATAAACAATTACATATATCATAATTTTACGGTATAATCATGAATCTAAAACATTTATAGTTGAGATTATTATCAATTACTAAACATACCCACTTGAGTTGCTTTGAGATATTTTGATCAATGTTTCATGCTCTTTTGTTTGAAATATTTTCAAAAAAGCATTTTTATTTCTTCTAGGTGACCAAAAAAAAAACTTTAATCCTAACCTCTGCCATGCCATGTCAAGTGTCCATAACTTAATCTTGGAGTTTAAGGATATTAATATTCTTCCATATCTATGTGGAAGGACAGGTCTTGTAGGTGGCAGGATTTGACACTTTCTCCCAAGCAAAAACATGAGATCGAGCATATCCTTTCTTAAAGATAGTTACCAGCCAGTACTCATGCTTGAAAGTGTAGAGCTTGTTAGGATTGAGGAAGTGTGTACAGGAGAAGGTTTGTCTTTGAAAGCACTTATATTATCCTTTTTTCTTTTTTTTTGGTTACATTATGTTCAAACTTGTGACAACTACTCTCTCCAATTTAACGGCGACTACTATGATTTGAACTGGGACAAAACATATTCCCAAGGAATAAAGATCATATTCCCAAGGAATAAAGATCATTCCCTTATCCATTTGCATCTTACCTTTTGAAGTCAAAAAGCAATGGAGGTGACTAGTTGAATCTCGAATATATGATAGCTATCAATGGCCTTTTCATATTCTATATATATACCGATAAAAAAATGAAGCATGATTGATAAATATTTAACTCAAAATACGCTTTGAGGACCATATTCAGAATGATTGGTTCTTACCTAACTACGTAATAAGACAATAGATTAAAGTTTTGAGGGCACTCTAGTTGAATTAACTGATCTCACTTTGCTCGGTAATAAGATGATAGATTGTTAAAATTTTCCTTGGCACTCGTAAGAAATTATAACATATCTGATCTTTGTTGGACGTCCAAATCCTACTCATTTCATGTAACCGTGAAATAAAATCATGGAGCGTCGTGGGTGTTAAAATTTAATTATATATCCTAATGTTGGTGAAAAAGGTACTAAAACTAATTCCTCCCAAAATTAATTTAAAAAAAATCATATTTCTCACAAGTCGAAGTCGAAGCACAATTTCTTTGTTGAAGGTGCTGTTAAGCCACTACGAGGATCCTGTATCCAGCAATTAATGGACCCATGAAGTAAGTTATAAAAGAACGAATAACAAAGGCTAGGGTCCACAGCAAACTTGCCCACCCATGCACACTCATGGGCCGGGCTACAGGACTGTTGATCGAACCTAGATTGGGCCAGGCTTCCAAATGGGTCTATTTCACAGATTTTTTATGGGCCAAAACAAGCCTAGCGAGCTGAAAACATGACCATGGTCCTATCCGTTGGATCAATGGATAATCCATTGACAACTTATGATGGGCCAAGTCTCTCATTAATCCAGTGGGCCTTCTGCGTTTATTGCAATATGAACATTTGACGCTAACACGTATCTACCATGTTAACCCATTAAGGACAAAAACATAAACATGGCCCCACATTAACCAAATCAGAAAAAAATAACATTACCTTTTCAAAATTTAGACATAAATTATCTATTTTTGGCAAAAACAAAATTGTTGTGGACCATCTCATTAAATAGTTTGAGCAATGTTATATAAACTTAAACAATAGACTTAAAAACTAGACTTGATAATTTTAATCATTAATTTCACTGCAGGTCCCAACTTTTATTGAAATCCACTACTTATTCAATGATTGAGATTATCAAGTCTAATTTTTAAGTTTATCTAGCATTAGTCAAATATTTTTCTTAGAAAAATTCATTTTTTGAGATCATTATGTTTAGAGGTGTCAATCGTGTCGTGTCGTATTAAATTTGTGTCGTGTCACTTTCGATCGTGTTATTTTTGTGTCGTATCACTTTTGGTACGTGTCGAGTTCGTATCAATATTCGTGTTAATAAAAAATTATTTAATTTGATAAAAATTAATATAATATTTTTTAAAAAATTATAAATTCTTATTTTTTTATCTAAAATATTTATTAAATAATTATTTTTTATCTACAGTATTTATTAATCGTGTCGAACTTTAATTTGATGCATTTATTTTTCGTGTCATATTTATGTTCGTCAGCATATACTCAGCCTCTGTTGACAAATAAGTTCGGTATTTTCAAGGCAAATCGGCAAGAGCTACAAATCGGTGAACTTTTGCAAATTATTTGTTCTGAAAGCTAAGAAAGTAGTTCTTGATCAGTGTGAGCAATCGGAGAATGGGTAGCCGTACATGTGATCTTGTCGGCAAGGTTCATCCCGCCCACCAGTTCGACCTCGACGCCTTGTTTCGCTACGCCTCTGCTAATGTTCAAAGTTTCCCTCTCTCTCCTACCAAATTCACCGTCTCTCAGGTGGGTTCTTATACTCCTTCTACCTCTACTTGAAATTCTTGGTGATTTCTCAGGTGGGTTACTGTTTGATTGCTTTCTTCGCAGCCAAACAAGTGGTGGTGGTGGAATTTTTGATTGTATGATTGAGTTTGTTTGATATTTGTTTTGATTCAGTTCGGGCATGGTCATTCCAACCCTACGTTTCTGCTGGAAGTTGGGTCTGACTCTTCTGTGAAGCGCTATGTACTGAGAAAGAAACCCCCTGGGAAATTGCTTGAATCTGCCCATGCCGTCGAGAGAGAATTTCGGGTTGCACTTTTCTCTTATATTTATGTTTTATCAACTTTTTTCCCTTTTTCTGATGGAATGAAACAGTCAGTGATTGATAATATAATGATGAATGAGAATGAATTTGATGTGTTTTTGAATATATTCCAATTGAAGTTGTGAACTTGTTCTGATTTGACTTTGAAATGTGACAGGTTCTACATGCATTAGGCACCCATACACTGGTTCCAGTGCCTAAAGTTTTCTGTTTGTGTACTGATTCGAGTGTGATTGGAACTCCATTTTACATCATGGAGTATTTGGAAGGGCGCATATTTTTAGACCCCAAGTTACCCGTATGAACTTTGTTGTGAATTATAATTGCTATATTTGGCTTGTGATTTATAAATTTGGATATTCATGTTCACTGACGGTGATGGATTGAAGACTTGCAACCTATCTTTTTGAATAGGGTGTAGCACCTAGTAGGAGGAAAGTGATATATCAAGCCACTGCAAAAGCTTTGGCTTCTCTTCACTCTGCTGATGTTGATGCCGTTGGTCTTGGAAAGTATGGGCGGCGAGACAACTATTGTAAACGGCAGGTCTGTAAATATTCTTCCTCAAGGTTTTAGCTAATTGTTGATCATGTAATTGCTTTTAATATTGTATCTTGAAATGCCTTTTGTATGCCAAAGTTATAGGCTGTGTTATGAGTTAGTTATCCTCTATTTAGCTATATCAGTTTCATGTTTATTCCCATCTGGATCGATTTATGACTCAGTAATGCTTGTGAATTTTAACGGTCTTTGCTGCTAATGTCAATGAATGAGGTAGCTAGCTAATGGGATATAATGTTACTTTAGGTGGAGAGATGGGCCAAACAATATCTTGCTGCTACTGGAGGGTCTGAGTCCGAGAGAAATCCAAAAATGTTAGAGCTGATTGATTGGTTGCGGCAACATATTCCTTTTGAAGATTCTTCCGGAGCAGCAGCAGGTCTGGTCCATGGTGATTTTCGGATTGATAATCTTGTGTTCCATCCCATCAAGGTGCAGTACTTCAAAATTTGTTATATTTGTTTCAGCATATAATTTGAGTTTTCACATGTTGTAATATTTACTATGTTTAATTACTGAGTAGTCTAAGTCTCGTCAGATAGTTTCAATTTCTTGTTCATTTTCTTCTTTTTTTTTTTCCTTTTTCTTTCTAATGGTAGAAGAACAACTAATTAGTTATTGTTGGAGGTGCAGGATAGAGTGATTGGCATTCTTGACTGGGAGTTGTCCACCCTTGGAAACCAGATGTGTGATGTTGCATGCAGCTGCTTGGTATTCCAATCATTTTGCAACTCTATTCGTTCGGGTTTAAAACATGTTCTTTGTGTGTTTTGGTAGGGATGGTGAAGGTGTTTGTCTTGTTTTAACTGACTGTAAAATGATATTCCTTTATTTATTGATACCATATTTTTTTTAATATCTTTTTTGATAATAGATCTTGTTGATTGTTATTCTTCTGGCTTGCTTGTTATCAAATTGTATAATAGCAGGTTGTAGATGCTGCACAAGTAACTTTTGGGATCTGATTATTAGTTTTCTTTCTTGGCAGCCTTACATTGTGGATATTGATCCAGATAACGTTGGACAGAGTGAAGGTTTTGAACTTACTAGCATTCCTGAAGGAATTCCTTCTCTGGCAGAATATCTGGCTGATTACTGTTCTGCATCTGTAAGGCCCATTTTGATAGTTTCAATTGGATAGTTGTTTAGTGTGCACGCATCTCTTACGAAAGGTGATAGGTACTAATGAATTAAACTCAGTAATGTTACCCAAAGAAAAGATCAGCTGGTGTCTATAGATACATGTAGCCTATGCAGGGCTAGTGCAGCAAATCGGCACCATACTTGATAAAATTTGTCAGGAGATTTCCCATGCAATAGATCCATTTGAGAAATAATAACTGCTGGAGATATTGTGATCTCGTAAATTAGTAGGGTGATTCAATCTTTTTTATGTAAAGAATGGTAATGGTGGTTTTTTAGTGTTTGACTTTTAACTTAATAAGTTAACAGATAGAGCATTTTGAACCACTTCCCTGATTATATGTTGGTACTTGCTACTTGTCTTTAGTCTGTAGGAATCTTGAACTAGTATTTTAATTATTATAAATGTATTTGATTAGTCCTGTATGGTTATCTCTCAAAGGGCTTGCATTTACTTGAATTGTTGCTGTGTAGGGAAAGCCATGGCCTGTGGCTGGGTGGACATTTTATGTTGCATTTACCTTGTTCCGTGCGGCATCAATCTTTGCAGGAATCCACAGTAGATGGATAATGGTATTCCCAGCCATCAAACTCAAACTGTAAAAGTTGAGAGTAGGAAAATGCTTTGTTGATTTTGTAACAAAGATGTTGTGATGGGAGTCTATGATTGATGTCTGATTTTGTTGAACATCACTTTGCAGGGTAATGCTTCAAGTGGTGAGCGAGCTCGAAATGTAGGGAAAAAAGCTAATATTCTTGTTGATGCAGCATGGTTATTTATTGAACGGAAATCTCTGCTTCCTCAGCATGCTCCATCTGGTATCGATCAGTATTTTTTATGGTTATTTCCCTCTCAGTTACATTGGGGTGTTTAATCTTTTACCAGAACCGTTACCTCAGTATTTTTTTCATTTTGATTACTCAGATACAATTGCACAAGATAACTTGCAAAAATTTGGAATTGACCACAAAGATCAAGGTCTGTCCTTGGAAAGTGGAAAATTTGTTCCGAATATGAAGGTTCAGGAATTGAGAGTTAGATTAATCAAGTTTATGGAGGATCACATATACCCAATGGAAAATGAGTTTTACAAACTTGCTCAGTCCACCATGCGTTGGACAATTCACCCAGAAGAGGAAAAGTTAAAGGAACTAGCAAAGAGAGAAGGCCTGTGGAACTTATGGATACCTGTGTGTAACAATTTTCCCTTTTTTGTATAGATGTGCTTCAAAGTATTTATAGTGCTTATGGTGAATATTGTTTTCTTTGTAATTCAGGTAGGTGACTCATGTCTTTTTTTGGTATGCAGTTTGATAGTGCCGCTAGGGCGAGAAAACTAATTCTCGATGGTAGATATGTTGCTTCAACTGATAAGGCATCTGATCGCTTATTGGGTGCGGCCCTCTCTAACCTTGAATATGGATACCTCTGTGAGATCATGGGTCGTTCTGTTTGGGCTCCCCAGGTGTTTAACTGCGGGGCTCCTGACACTGGAAATATGGAGGTAACGTGGAACTTTCAAGTTACATTAGGATTAAGAGATGAATATATTGGTCGCTGCCACATTGCCTCTCCATTTACTATCTGGAGTTGCAAAGGTCACTGTTGAATTCACCTGAATAACCAAATTGTTCAGAGAATGATGGTGGACTCTAGGAGACAAGTTTATTGAAGGACAAGCCAACTCTGTCCGTAGATTGATTAATTTTGTTTGTTATGCTTCACTTTTTCATTTCAGGTATTATTGCGTTATGGTAATGAGGAGCAAATGAAAGAATGGCTTATTCCTTTGTTAGATGGAAAAATCCGATCTGGATTTGCAATGACAGAACCGCAAGTTGCTTCTTCTGATGCTACAAATATAGAGTGTTCTATTAGAAGGTAAATCATGCAGCAACAATGAAAAGATGAAGCTTTATTACACAATCATAGCTCGTTTCTTGGTATGCAGGCATCCCCCCTAAATGTACTTTAAGTTCAAGGAGAGAAAAATTCGATTAGACTGTGCTTCAATTTCGATACCAATGAAAGGAGTCATTTTAAAGTGTCATGGCAGCTAAAATGATTTGGTGAGTATAGCATGAATGCTTCAACATGGTTTAATGGCTACAGTACTTCAGAAGTATGTAGACATTAATGAGGTTCATTTTTTGAGGGAGTTCGGCAATCATCGAGTATCAGAATTGCCAGTTTATATTTACTTGAAATAAATACTTCAAGCAATTTCATAACTGCATGTTGTGTTTTCAATGAGACACTAAATGAATAGCCCCATCCATGTTGGTATTGGAGTTTAGCTCTCAGTATCTGGCATATTAGACTTGAAGTTCAGCTAAACTCCCGGAAGTCAAGGCATTGTTGCTCGAAATTGAACCATGTTGCATTGTAGCTTCTGAAACTACAGACCAAGTTGGATGGTCAGGGTTTATTTGTGGATGTTTAGTTTAGTGAAAAATATCATCTTAAATATTAAGCAAATCTAGATTTGAGAAAATTATGTAATCTATGAGAGTAAGGCCTCTTCTCTTTGATATTCATCAACACTCCAATTTGTAATTTAAGAAAGAGGAAACTTCAATTTGCAAATTGATTAAACATCTAGTTGGGCTTCGCATACTAATTGGTTGGGTGTTTTTTGTTGCATTTTTAGTTTTTTAGTAACTTAACCATTTTAATTCTGCATAAATACGATAGTTAAGTCCTGTATACCCTTCTCCACCTTTCCTACACAAACAACCTCCCACCCCAGGAAGAAAAAAACCCGCACAAAAGGAAATAGGCAAATTGTTTGGGGTGGAATTTGTTTTACCCTATCTTCTGATATAGACATTCCTTTTCTCTTAAAGGAATAATTTAAGCTGTCAAAATTCCATTCATTCAACCCATGGGTTTATTAGGCCACCATCTTGGTTTTAGTTTCCTCAAATTTCATAGGAGCAGTAGTAATAAGAAGATTTACAAATTTTTACGGCTTACTTAGTGTTTTTGTTGACTATGTTTGAGATAGAGAAGGGGACTCCTATATCATCAATGGAAAGAAGTGGTGGACCAGTGGAGCCATGGATCCTAGGTGCCAGCTGCTTATAGTAATGGTTAGTCTTGTTTCGTGCATCAAAAATAGATAATTCTTAAGGTTAGTCATCAAGTTAACTGTTAAGGTGTTCGATTTGAACAATATGCAGGGCAAAACTGACTTCACTGCCCCCAAGCATAAGCAGCAATCCATGATCTTAGTAGATATCAAAAGTCCTGGTGTACACATAAAGAGACCACTCACAGTATTTGGCTTTGATGATGCACCTCATGGGCATGCAGAAGTATCATTTGAGAATGTACGTGTTCCAGCCGGGAATATTTTGCTGGGAGAGGGGCGTGGATTTGAAATTGCACAGGTGAAGTTTTAAATCCTTTTAGGAATCTTTGTGAATTGTTTAAATGGTATAGCAGGGTGATTTTCCACTCTAGCAGTCTTGAACAAAATTTACAATCCAATTCCCATCGCATTGAAGCTGTAGGGCAACCTGTATTGAACTTCTTTGAATGCACATGAATAGATCCCACTTCCTTAAATGACTGAAGTTCCTGCTGTGTATATGCTGTTTTTGCGGTGGGGTACAAATTCTGTTTTGAAGGGTGAAACCAAAAAATTTCTTCTCGAAGTTGTTTTTTGTTCTTCTGTTTGCGGGGATATTTCATTGAGGAAACCATTAAAATACTCGTCTTTGTAATGCCCGAGTGTTGAGAAACATTGGATTGGATGTTTAAGATGGTGTTTTAAGTTTTGTGGGTGGAGATTTCTCTTGGTATGCCGTGTATTTGGTGTATCTACCTGCAGGTGTAGGATGTGGAATCGTGGATATCTTACATGTGGTGATTGGTATATATTATTGCAGGGTAGGCTGGGCCCTGGAAGGTTGCATCATTGCATGAGACTGATAGGAGCTGCAGAACGAGGCATGCAGATGATGGTTCAAAGGGCTCTAGAAAGAAGAGCATTTGGAAAGTTGATTGCAGAGCATGGTTCGTTTCTTTCTGATGTTGCCAAGGTAATTTTGAAAAGATACCGATAGTATAGTCCTGAAAAATAGTTGGTTCCCATTCCCTCTAATGACCTTTTTGTAAGTTGAATGTTTCACTGTTTCTTGCCAATGTGATGATGAAGAAGATGATGGCACAATGAAATTGGGTTTCTTTTTGTGTTTCAGTGTCGAATAGAACTAGAGAAAACCAGATTGTTGGTTCTGGAAGCTGCAGACCAGCTTGATCGCCTTGGAAACAAAAAAGCTCGGGGGACTTTAGCAATGGCCAAGGTATCTCTATCTCTATGGGTTTAGATTTTGGTTTTTCATAATTTCTCTAGTTGATATCGATAAGTAGCCGAATTTGTTGATTCCTATTCAAACGGTTTTGGTTGCCCATCGAGCAGGTAGCAGCCCCGAATATGGCGTTGAAGGTGCTCGACATGGCTATGCAGGTGCATGGTGCTGCTGGGGTATCTGGTGACACTGTTCTGGGTCATCTTTGGGCTACAGCAAGGACATTGAGAATTGCAGATGGTCCTGATGAAGTCCACTTGGGGACCATTGCCAAATTAGAATTACAAAGAGCTAAACTTTGAGAGATTCAGAAAGTGTAGATTTCAATAAGCAACATGTTTCAAACACACAAATAAAAAAAATGCAGAAGTTTTCAAATATCATCATAATCAGATATGAGAGGGGTATGTTGTTTGATCGCACTGTAAAATTAGTACTTCACGTTTATGATTTGTGTACAATAAGAATCAAAGCTGATTACTTTGGATCGAAATACTACTGAAAAGATATAAGCAAGGATCAAAATTTTGAGATTGAAATGAATTAGTGATGAAATCAAAATTTTAATATTTGAAGGTATTTCATAATGTTTTGTAATATTTTAATACATTTTTACAATTGTTTCGGAAAGTTTTAAAGTATTTTAAGATATTTTAGTATATTTCGATTAATGTTTTGAAAAAATAGTTTTTAAATTTTTTATTTTTTTCATTCTGTTTTTAAAACGGGTCGAAATGTTTTTGAAATTTATTCATACGTTTTTGTTTCTTAAGCGACTGAAATAATATATCGAAATGAAATTTTAATCCTTAGAAATACGATGTACTAATTTAGAAGGCAATAAGAGTGGATGCTTGGTTGTTTGAGAGGAGCATTACCCTTTTTTTCCCCACAAAATATTAAAAAATAAAACTGAAAATGTCTCTCTTGTCTGCTACACCACAACCACCACCACCCTGCATATATAAGAATTAGTGCATAGAAAGAAAGATATCTATATATGTGTAGGGATTGTATGTGTTGTGTATATAGGTGTGCATGTATTCATCTATATGTTAAACAAATATCTATACTACTTATAAAAGTGATTAACAATGAAAAATTTTTGATTTTCTCTTTTACCCTCGGTTAATATTATAAAGCCTATTATATCCCTCCTACCCTTTTAACTTCTTAAATTAAATATATAAACCTCTCATATTTCATGATCTTCTAAAATTAATTATATTCGTAAACATCTATATTTATACTACTTATAACCTTATTTAATTTTTTTACTACCAATCATGTCATATTACATTATATAATATCTATTCAATATTGCACCAAATCAACTGCAATCATTAGATCAGTAATAGAATTTACTGATCCAACGGTTGCAAGAGATTTGATGCAAGATTTGGTGCAAATAACATTGTTCATATTATATTATCTATCTATACTATTTATAAACGTCAATACTTGTACAAAACTTTTGATTGACAATAATGTCATTAAAATATGCTAAAAATCAAATAATATCATTTTGTGTTAATTTTTCACTAGCCAGAAGTTTTTCTTGTGTGTTACTGTCAATTAAAGAGACATAACTCTTAGAGTTTCATAACTCAAATTCTTTTAGACGTGCAATTTTTATGCTTTTTTATTTATTCTCACATTTTTATTTATTCTTATTTTTATTTGACAATTTTTTTATGTTAATTTTGAGTAGCTGGTTTCAAGTAACACAAACAACAATAGTACTATTTGTTGAAAGCACATAAGATTATTGTATCCACAATGATGAATTATGTCATTCATTACTCAAAATATCAAACTTAAGTTCGGCCACATTAATTTAGAAATTAAACATTGTATAAATTTATAAGAACTAAGTTGTTGGTGCGACAATAATTAAATTATGTACTTGATAAAACAATTCTAGAATACATCATTACATATAAGTTTTATTAAATTATATTTTGATTCATAAGTATATATTTGTTAATATATTTATTTGATTATTTCGTAATAGATATGATCTTAATTAAAATTAAGATAAAGCTATAATACATATATCCGCCACCAATTGGAACTTGAACAATTTCATGTCTTTCATATTCTCGCTTCTTTTACAATTATGTTATGGACCAAGAAATATGAATTAATCATGTAGCATAAAATGTTTATTCATAACATGCTCGATCCAAGTCTTTTGAACAAACAATTTTATGAAATATTTTTTTGAAGTGTTTTGAAGATGCTTCGACATTAGCTATGCATTTGGTCTATTTATTAGAAGATTACTTTTTTTACATTTTACATATGAAAAATCAGTAGACACAATTATTGACATATTTGTAAGTAGCGGGCAAAACTTTAATTGCAAATTTCATTGGTGATCATATATTTCGATTTGGAGAAAACTAAAAATAGAAATTATAATTTAAAATTATCAGCGTGCAATGCACGCGTTCATCAACTAGTAATAAGAAAAGACATAGAGTAGAAATCAATAACTAAAATTTCGTTTTAGTGCATTGTTTATGTCACTTAAAAAATAGAAATGTTTCGAAAACAAAATGAAAACTGAAAAAAAATTGGGAATTTTTTTTCAAAATATTTTGAAAGATTGATCGAAATATACCAAAATATCTTAAAATATATTGAAATATTCCAAGACAATGATATAAACATGTTGAAATACCTCAAAACACTTTGAAGCATTGGTGTTTCGATTCAATCACTGATTTATTTCAATCCCCTTAAAAATGAAAACGTTTCAACCGTTTTGAAAAAGAAATTTTGATCCTTACTAGAAATTAGTTTTGAAATTTTCATTAAATGTGTTAGGCAATTTATTTCAGATGAAACTTTAGATGGTATATCGCAACTAGGTCCTTACTTAAAGGAGCCAAGGTGTAATTTATCCTAACTTGAATCAAGATTTTTGTTTCTGCCCCATTCCCAGGTTTAGAGAGGAAACTATACCATGGCCTAAATGGGCCGTGACCCCTCTTAGGTATCAAAAATTAAAATTTTCACCCTCGATTTTGTGCAATTTTTTATTTGGGCCCATTAAGTTTTTGATAATTTTACATATTCAAAATCTGTTACAATCAAAAAAGAAAAAAAAAAAATCTAATCATACTATAAGACACTTATGATTTCAATCAATTTCACTTAATAATAGATCGTTTAACCATACACAATGGGTGATATACCATAATGTAAAATAATTGAAAGTGTAACATAAAAGATCTCAATCCTCTTAACTTTTATATAACCTTCTTCCGAGCAATGTTATAGAGACCTAATTTGGGTATTTAATCTGAGGACCTAATAATGTGGCTTCAACATAACTATTAGATTAATTGTGAGTTTCAATGTTAGATGAAGCTCGTTACTGATCCAATGATTATATTAAATTAGGTCCTCAAATTAAGTCTAAATAACATTTTCACTTTCAATATATCTTGAACTTCCTTAAACTCTAAACACTCTTTTCCCATGAAATTTATTGATATCATAATAACTTGAGCTGATCTTAAAATAGTAATGCTAGTGGCACATAATTTGGAGATTACATGATTGTGACCATTAAATTATCAATGTGTGTCAACATTAAATTATCAATGGATCTAAAATACTATCAATCCAATTATCACAATGCATTAAGTTCCTAAATTATGTCTCAATATCATTAGCGCTTAAAAAATGCATGAGAAACAAAAATAATTTATATTCATTAAAGGTATACATTAAATTACATCCTCATCCCCCTTTACACTTTTTCTCTTTTTTTTGATGCTAATAATCCCCCCTTTACACTTCCATCTATGTGAAGTACTCTTCCTTCATAATAGCAGTTATTTCTTCTTCTCATATTCAATTTAGTATCCATAGTAAATGTTCAACAGACTTGTAAGTTACATTAGACCCTTATTTTGTATTCATAGAAAACAAAAAAAACTCAATACTTGACTGTTCATTTCCACCCTTAAATTGGTTTTGGAGTGCTCTCATTTGTTTAAGCCAAATGGACTATTAAAGTCAAATTTATCCTTATTCAAGAGTTATTGCTCTAGGTTTTATTTAGTACTGCATACGTTAATAAAAGTCCTAGCAGACTTCTCTATTTTCCATCGTGAACTCTCCTCTGACTTCTCTCACGACGCTTTGTAGGCATCACTTTTCTCTTTCTGTTCTCACATCAGCATAAACAGAAGAAGAAAGGCATTAATCATTGCGACGGGTGCCTCTATCTCAAGGAGTGGTAGTAGAGAGACACAGCAATAGGTCCAAAGTAGATTGTATTAATTTAATTGGGAAGAATGGAGAATGAACCCTATGAAATTCTGCTGCTGCTTTGTCGTCGATGCGGCAAGCCTTTAACACCTAGATCTGTGTACCGAGGCATTTTAGATGCTTCTGTATATGTCTGCTCTAAGATGGTACATCGCAACTAGGCAGTGACCCCACTTAGATATCAAAAATTAAAATTTTCACCCTTGATTTTGTGCAATTTTTTATTTGGCCCATTAAGTTTTGATAATTTTACATATTCATATTCTGTCACAAATCAAAAAATCTAATCACAGTGAAAAACACTTATGCTTCAATCAATTCTATTCAATGATAGATCGTTTACCTATACACCATGGGTCATATACCATCGTATGAAATAATTGAAAGTGTAATGTAAAATATTTTAATCTTCCTAACAAAATAATTTATATTCAAATCATATTTCATTAATGGGTACAGATTAAATTATATCCACATCCCCCCTTTACACTTTCATCATGCCAGAATCATAAGGAATGCCAGTGGGCTTAATCCAAGCATCTCCTTCAATGTATTGTCCTGGAGTGAAACCCATAGCTGCTTGTGGAGTTAGCTTCTTAATACCCTTCCATGTCACTCTCGTCGCAAGGCCAGCACCAGGTCCTCTGTTGTTAAACTCAGCATAGAAGCATGTGTCAAGTCCAAAAGTACCAACCCATGGTGCCCAACCTGTAGGATCAATGGTGCTATCAATGAAAGACTGCATGACAATGGTTCTCGAGAATTCCTTCCATGGCCGTCCGAGGTAGGACTGGAACTGTCCTTTGGCGGCGATGAATGCCGGCTCAGCCGTGATGTAGCAGTTCTGGAGGACAATAGCGCCTAGTCCACGCTTGTCTTTTCTTCCTTGGGCTGTGACCATGCAGGCCTGGTTGTCCATTGGCTTTCTGACGATCATCTTGCAGTTTTGGAAGACAGAGGCAGCGTCGCCGAAGATGAAGTCAATGGTGCCGGTGATGGTGCAGTCACGGTAGAATTGGCGGTAGGAGTGAGCGTAGAGGGTGTCTTGGTAACCGTCCAAATTGCAGTTGTAGAAGATGGCCATGTCGGCTGACACACGAAGTGCCACGGCTTGGTGCTTGATTGCTCCTGCGGAGTTCTCGAATCCAATGTCCTTGGCAATGAAATGATCTCCATTCACGGCTGTCATTTGAATATAACAACATCGATCATTACTTTCCAATAAGATAGATGGCAAGTTCTATCAATTTATGAGAAAGATG